TGCTCCTCAGGCCTTCCCTTCTAGTACATGGCTTCTTCTGCAACATTGAATATACAAAGTTTAGTTCCAACGAAAATTATTGTTTCCCAAAAGTATTCTAGACATAAACAATGAACTTCTAATATTACAGTTGGTGGATCAGGGATGTCGGTTGTATCAACATCCTCTTCAGTATCCTCCTCTGATAACTCTGGACAAGTTCTGGCATTATGAGTATCCTTCCCACATTTAGTGCAATGTTTTGGTTTTCGACCAATGTGGGGTGCTTGCTGGTTCCCACTGTTGTTGGCGACGTTTTCACTATTTGGTTCTTCATTATTTGGTACTGTGTGGCCAGCAGCTCCATCATTAGCTTCAGTATCAGTAGGTTCTGGTATTGTAGGCCTCACATAATCAGGAGGCTTCTTACAAGTGCTTTTTTTATGACCCAATACGCCACATCTGCTACACATTCGTTGCTCCCCTTTCTTCCTTTTGTTTTCTTGTCCACCCGAACCTTTGTATTTCACAGGATGTGGATCCAAAAGTTTCTCTTTTGCCTTTGGTCTATTGATATCTGGGATCTCAGTATCACCTTCGTTCATCATGTCTAGCGATTCACATATGGATGCAATTCCTGTACGAGCAAGGTTGAAGCTTTCGCTTGATTTTGCCCCTTTTAACCATAACTGGGAGCTGCTTTGTTGAAGAAGCCCATATCTGAAAACCACAGTCAATATTATTATTCTATTAAAACGTCACGAAAAAGTGAAAGCTTATGTTCTAAAACGGGTCAACGCCCTCTGGTACCACCTTAGTATTTAATAAACACATCTGAACTGCTTTCTTAAACACAGTAACACACAATTTCCAGCTTTATACAGTAACTACGAACCTGAATGTGAATAGTCTAGCCTCGTCCATATTGTGTGGTTGTTGTAAGCTATCAAGTGTCTTCGGCTTCTTTGACCACCTTAACTTTACCAACCGTTCTGGAAGTTCCAGCATACCCTCTTCTTTCAGTAGATGAACCATATGAGCGCATGGTATTCCCATATAGTGGTAATAGTTACAACTACACTCCATAGCGAAGGGCTCAATTGTGTATGTGACCTGAAAAACCTTTTGTTTACCTGACATTGTCACTCTGTAAATGCGTTGGTTTTCCGATATCTCTGAATCCATCCTTACAAAAGCTCCCGAATTTTCAACCTCATCTCTGAATTTGAAAAAGGCTTCTTTTGTGAATAATTTAGACGCACTCTTCTGAAGTGAGACTAATATATTAGACGTTATTGTCCGTTCACGATGGATGGACTCAAAATCAGCTTGTTGCTCCATCTCCCTCATATTCCTAGACCAACGATCAAAATGAATAAAGAACTCAAGTAGATTATGATTGTTTTCGATATACTTGGTAAGCTGAGAGTTCATTCCTTCACATCTAGACGTTGTTGACAAGCCTGCAAAGAACTTTGAGCGCAAGTATGTATACCCCCATTTAGTTCTTTGGTCAAATAGATGTGAAACCCAATTGTTATGCTGCTGTGAGCACTCCTCGACCATTGTTTTCCACTTATCTTCAAATACTGAAGGTTCCCAATCAGCTGACACGAAATGTTTCCATTGTGGCAAGAAGTTAGGATTGTCCCTCACTTTTCTGGCAATAGTTTTGTCTATGTGCCAAGCACATAAACGATGTGTCGCATCGGGGAATACTTGCTGAATCGCGTTGCGCATGGCTTTATCCCCATCTGTGACAACAGTTTTAGGATCTACACCGCCCAACCTTCTCCTCAAGGCATCTAGAACCCATACATAGTTTTCTTCTTTCTCATTTGCCAAAAATGAACATCCAAATATGCAACTGTTGAAGTGGTGGTTCACACCTAAAAAATAAACAGGTTAGTAAAATTACTTCACTAATAAGACAAGAATTACACTATACCCATAACGCATGGAAGTGATATTGCATTAGTCTCTTTAACGTGTGGTATTAAGTTTCAATGAATAAATACTTTATACTTTATAGGAATGAAAATATAAGTTACTAGGAACCGAAAATAAAAGAATTAGTACCTGAAAAAATTACTAGAGGCATATTGTAGACGTTCTTTTTGTAAGTCGCATCAAAAGCCAATAATTCTCCAAAGCATGCATAATCAGCCACTGAAATACTATCTGCCCAGAACAAGTTAACAAGCCTGTCTTCATCGTCTTTTTTTAGCTCAATTACGAACTGTTCATCCGCACTTAGTTTCGCCTGTAGGTAAGCTAGTGCTGTCGCAGCATCACCATCACTAATCTGTTCCTTCCGATCTTTGTCCACGTAATTATACGCATCTTTCCTCGTGAACCCCATCTTGCTATAGCCTCCTGCCTCTGCAACCGCTAGTGAAACAATCTGTGATGTTTTCATTCCTGCAGCTCTCCGGAAATTGATTGCTGCTTTAACTGCATCACTCAACTGTCGATTCCCTTTCATGTAGTGTCGGTATTTTTTTGGAACCGTTACGTGAGAGTGCACGTTATGAAAGGTATCAACAAACCACTTCCCATCTGACTTGTCTAGTCGTACACGAATCCTAGCTTTGCAGTCAAATCTCGTCTCTCCTTTTGGTTCCCTCTTTCGTTCACCCTTTCGGTCGCGCTTTGTTCCTTGACCAGAACATACAAACCGACGCCATATCATGACCTTGTCTTTATCTCGGCCAATATCTTCTTTCCTGACGTCAAAGCCGGTGACCAGCCCATAGTTCCTCCAAAAATCATAGGCTTCTTCAGTGTTAGCGAATCTTAGCTTCTCGATATCTTCTTGCTGTAGAAGTAAGAGATCGTCAATATCATCCTCTTCTACCTCTGAACTTTGGTGAACGTTATGAATAGTTGAACCGTTACTGTTGTTAATATCTTCATTGATTTCCACTTCGACGATTTCATCGTCTTCCATGATCGTCGCGCTTGTGATTGTCCAAGCCAACTAACCCTAAGTAGCCAAAGTAGTACTAAGGAACTAGCCTCTCCGCTGGCGCTTCACTATGAAAAACCTAAAGGATGTTGTATATAAGCTGTGAAATTAAATCCTTGTTTTTAACGGAACAATTTGGGTCAAAACATCCATGGGCTGGACTGAATTCGTTTGGCCTATTTAAATAAAACTAGTGGGCCTAAATAACCTCCTTGGTTCGCATAACCAAGCCTGTCGTCCCTCAAATGGAGGACACCTATTCCAAAAGCATCAATTGCACCAGGTGGCCCCTCCAAAGAAGCACACCTGTCACCAAAAGCATCAATTCATATATGAAAATCCTATCACCATTTACTCTACCCTTTGTCATTGGTTGTAGGAGATTGTATGTTGATAAGATTTTATCCCCTTACAGCCTATATAAAACGCAGTCCCCTCTTCCTTCAAAATCATGGAAGCAGCAAATGAAACTTGAAATTCCTTAAAGTTCTTCCTCCAACCTTATTTGCATCAAGTTACGGTAATGAGGAGAACTCCAAGTGGCTAAAGAGTTTCCCAACATTCAATCATGTTTGTGAGTTTGCCATGTATAGATGGGAAACTCTTTGGCCATTTGGATGTTTTTCTCATTGCATTGTAAGAAGTTATTATTTGTACAGGAGGTTGAGAATGTGGATCCGGGATTTCTTCTTTGTTCTTGAGTTTGAGTCTTTGTCTTCGTTTTTCATTTTTATATTTCCTGTGTTCAATTACATTTCCGCTACTGCCTTGTGTTCTTATTCATACTCCGTTCTTGTGTTTATATTTCTGGGTTTCACTGCTTACTCTGTTTTCCGGTTTTGGAACGAAGAAAGAAACAGAGCTTTGGTGCTCTGCCGCGGGAAGCCTAGATCACTCTTAATTGATTGGTTGAAAATGGGCCAAACGTGAATTCATAAACTGGCGGAGCCACAACCAACCAAGGGAGGTTAAACTGGCATCGTCTTCTTCCCTTCTTCCATCTGCTTTCGTGGTCTTGTCTTTTCGAACCTTAAAACCCTAAAATTAAGCCCCTAATCGGTTTAATGAGGTGGATAAATATAGAAGTTCACACGTAACTAGTTAATTCCTTATTAAGTTCATTTAATGAGGTGGATAAATATAGAAGTTCCCACATATAAAAAAACTCTAATTGATATCTCACGGGTTTTCCTAATACACGAGGTTAAACACCCCTCTGGCGCATCTATTAATATGGCCAAACATCTTGCCCAAAACTCATTCAACTAAAAGTAGCGCAGAGGCCCTTTGGTCAACATTGTGTCTGTAACATTATGGGGAAGGAAGGGTAAGTTCTGCAATCCGCTAATGTGTTTTCTTTAACTTTTTAGTCAGCTATTTAGTTGTATTTGTTCTTATATTCCACTCTCTCGTTGCTTTTTTGTACAATTATATTAGGGAGAAGAGCAAGATGACGAGCGGCCAGTCTACTGTACGCCTAACGCGTTCTCTAGCCAAGTCTATGGTTCGTCCAGGAGCTTTAACAGTAGGTTATTTATACAAAACTTATTCTGACTTGATTGTTCATTATTGTAGGAATTGGAGAACTATGTATCTCCTGCAAAGAAAACAAGAATGCAAGACGTCACCCCCCCACCTACACCCGACTTGAAGGTGATTGTTCTTGATGCTGAACCAGGGCTGGACCATGATGAGCTAGGTGTGCAAAACAAACCCCTCACGCCTCCACAAAAATTGTCAATGAAGGTATGTAATCCTAGTGATGTACATATGCTTCCTTTCCGCCCACTATTTTCGTTGTTTTCCTTCGTTCCTTTCTCCGCCACTTGACTTCTATTTCTTCTTTAATTAATTATATATTTTCATTTAAAATGTAAAACCTAAAACTCAAGAAAACCTCTTCTTATTTCCTCTATTTGTTCGTTCTCCATGATTGAAGGGTACCACAAGGTTTGAGCTCCCTACAGCCGTCAACTACAGTGACGAAGAAGTGAGTTTTGCTCACTATATATTTGCAGAAGACCTTCATCCTGATGAAGCTTTGGTCAAAACAATGATGAAATCATATACCAGGCATACATTATGGAGCTTATGCCCCGAGTCAAACGTTGATGCTGATGTAAGTACTTCTGCGAAACGCCCCTAGTTGACCTGAACGTGCTTAACGATTTTTAATCATTGGATTTTATTTCTATTGTGTTTTAGGTAATTACAGCGTTAGCATGCCACTTGACCTTGGACGAAGTTAAAAGAGATACTGGTCGTGGAAGAGGAGTGTGCTTTCTGCCTACGGAATTGCAGGTAAGTGTTGCTTTTGCTTTGTAATTCTATTTCAGTTGACACAGGGTTGGTTGTTTATTAAGTAAGATTAGTGTTCAATGATTTAACTTCATTTTCCTACCAGGATATGGTGGTTAATTATGGCATGACATCTGCAAAGGCATTAGAGTTATATGATACAAAATTCCTATCAAAAGCTCATAACTGTAGAAAGGTTATGACTTCTCCACAATTCTTCCTTCTCATTTCTGTTTATTTAGTAGCGGTTTTCACAACATATGTGCGCGTGAATTATGCCTGCCCTTCTGCTTAATTTCTTGAATGAATTATGTCGGAAAACTAATTAGTTAATTGGATTGTTTTCTCGTACCTGTGAAGGTTTGTCTTCCCATGAAAGATATGATGAATGATGAAGGCATCCACTGGTATTTAGCTATAATTTTGATGGACCAGAAACAAGTACACATTCTGGATTCATGCCCATCAAAAGAGCGCCAAACAATCCGTACGAATGCAGTTCACACAATGGTATAGTTAAAATTTGTGCCATTGAATACATACTTCAATACACGTGTTTGTAATTCAATTATGTGGCATTATATTTTCCAACACAATTTTGTAATTCATAGGTTACTTTTTGAACGTTGTAGATCGAATTTCTGAACGACTTGTTCGATGCCTTACACAAGGATGTTCAATCAACATGTGCACCGCCACAGATCAAGGAGTTTACTTTGACCACTCCTGAAGTTCCTACACAACGACACAAGTAAGAATGTATATTTGGTCATAATTTCACTAGAAAAATAAAATATTTGTGTCTTACGTAATGCATCTTTCTAAACAGGAATGATAGTGGGATCTGGGTTTGTGTGTGGATGATGGGATCAACTTGGGATGATGACTATTATATTTGGGTAAGAAATCACCTACTACCTAGGCCCATTTATTTCTACGAGCACATTAAAAAACTATGTCAACTATTGTATTAATACGTTATATTTTCTGTCCTTACAGCCATGCAATCATTTGAGAAGAATGCAGGTGGCATTGTACCTAGTCAAAGAGCCTACCAATTACATAAGACACAAGGTGCTCAAGAAAGCAAATCAGAATGCGCCTAGGTTTGAAGCTCAGACACTTGAGTACAAAATAGCTTCCCAAGAGAGGAAAGCAGGTTCCCAGAAGAGGCTAATTCAGGAAAGCAGCTTCCCAGAAGAGGCGAATTCAGGGCTCAAGGATATCTAGTCGCATAGTGTGTTCTGCTAAAACATTTTAGCATTTAGTTTTGTTTCTTCCTTTCCAACGAATGCCCTCTTTATGGTAACGATTTAAGGACACGTTTATTATTTGGCGGATAGATTGCAAGTTTTGGTGTGCTTTTTTATTTATTAGAGGGAGGCTAGGAAATCAGCCGAATAAACACAAGTACACAGCCAGAGTCTAGTTTGCCAAACAGAATTGGAACCGCTACAGTAATCTCACATTGCAGACAGATAGCCAAAATAGCAGCAACAGAAACAGGCACCTCTGAGATTCGCATAAAAACTAATAGAGATAAACTGGCCAGATTACTTGCCTCAGGAAACTTATTCCCATCACGTCTTCACGAAGTAACCCATCGAAATTTGCTGGTTGATCGTCCAACAACCAGCCCAATCAAGTGGACCCTTAAACCATTTTTCAATAAAGATGGAAGAACCCGAAACATGATTAAAAGCATCACTAGTGAAGAATGTGGCTAAATTGAATTAGGAACTTACAGTCATTTCTCGTGGTGACTAAAATGAAAGAGGTCACATATCGTCCATTCAAATAATATTTGTCTGAGCTCAACCAAACTTGAGTTGCTCCCCATATAAATGTAATCACCCTCTTGTTTTTTCATATCTTCTTCAGACAACTTATCAACTGTGCTAAACATGAAACTATCAAGATCGACTTCCTTGTTCATCGGATCCATTCTGACCTGGAAAAAGAAAACCACCAAACAAGCTCCTCAACAGATCATGTCAAAGACTACTGAAAGAATGGACCAAAAACACACATGATCCTGGAAAGGGACATCTTAAGCACCTAATTCCGATACACATTAACTCGGTTTATCATCAATGCATAAAACCGTCACCACAATTCGTCAAAACCCTTACCTTGTCAAAGTTAACCACGAAGATAGAAGCAGGACTGGGCCTGTCGGGGTCTCTGTTTAGTTCGAACCCCACGGTTTCAGTGTAAAAAAATGTAGGAATAGAATTTTTGAAATACAGACTCCACAGCTGTAGCCTCCGCTTCAAACAACGAGACCTCTCTTCCCAAATCAGTCTACAATACACCTCATCCATATCAGAGATCCATCCAAAATCACAGCATTGTAGTTCGAAAATCAATTTCGGCAATTTCAATTCAAAATCCCTTTCTTACCTCCCTAGCAGATCCTGAAGGAACCATGGCCTCTTTCATTGCCTTCTCCAGTGCAATCATCTCCGCCTGCCCAGCTGTTTGCACAAGTGAATTACTCATACAAGCAACAATTAGTTTTCATTCAAAGGGATGGGGGTGCTTATGCTTGCACAGCTTGACGCCGAGATTACCTGCGATATTCGGCCAGTTTAGGGTTCAAACAATCGATTGGGAGGAATCATAGGACAGGTGAGAAATATAACAGTCGAGAACGGGAAAACGAAGAAGAATAAGGGAAACAGAGTGGTTCAATTATCGCTGCCATTTTCTGAGGCGGCTGGGATGATTTAGAGGAGTAGGGAGGAAGAACAGGGTTATTCCCAATTCGAACAGAAAAATGGAGAAGAGAGAAGGTCCAGGGTCGGGATTTGGAGGAGAGGGGTAGGGCTGCGGGTTGCAAGGTAGGTGTCCTTTCTCTTAGGGTGGTTGGAATTTGGGTCAATTCAATAACTAAACAGAACCAACCCGATTTGGTTTACAATGGACTGAAATGAAAGAAAAACTAATTCTATGAGTTGATCTGTAATTGTATTTAATATAAATTCCGAAAAAATAAATCATTTAATAAAATTTAATCTCAGCCGTCGAGATCACACGTACGGTCAAGATCACCCAAGGTACGCCATACCCCGGAATTTACCCGGGGTACGATAGAAGCCACCATATATATATATATATATATATATATATATATATATATATTATTTGATATCATAATGATTAAATTATAGTGTATTTTATAAGGAATTGTTTGGTATTTGTTAGTAAAACACTAAATAAAAAGATCTATTTGATTATTTTTAACATTAAAACGAACCTAAACAGTTTCCGTTTCCTTTCGATTATCTATGGTTTTATTCTCGAATCAGTGATGTGCAAGTGGCGAATTGCAATCATCTCTTTTCTTTCACTATTTTTTATTTTCAAATAGAAAGTTTAAAAGTAAAGAATAATTAGAGTTTGGCATGAGTCGGTCAAACATACTGAATTTCAAGTGTTGGCCCGTTTTGATCAAGGCTAATTTTTAATCACATGGTTCCCTGATACCCAATAAAAATCTCAATCCAAATCAGTTTGGCAGGCGAGTCCGTGTTTATCACCATTTTCTAGGCATACAGGAACGACCGTTCCTATCCCAAATCGTGTTGTTCGTTCTTAATTTCTTTAGATTTTATCATGGCCTGGTAAAAAACAGAAAACACAATGGAGACAAGATGAAAGTTTTATAAAGCAAATTAATCGGTCAACGGGCTAAGAAAAAGCTAGCAACAATAAGCTATACACCCCATTACATTATCAAATTTCATACCTCACCTTCTTCCGCCCAATTGGCCGGGGCCCACGCTAGTTTTTTTTGTACGCTTTTGCCAATGTCTCTTTTTTTGGGTAATAGGATGGAGCGAGGCGGCGTTCCAACCATTTAATTTAGAACAATTCTAGGGGACTGAATGTCAGTACATTATGAAGCAACAAGTAATTTAACGACGAAATCGGAGAAGTAATGACGTCCACGTTGTACGAATGCCCCATCGAGGCTAGAAAGTCCACAACAACGTTAGCCTCCCTAAGCACATGTTTGATGACTGCCTTCCATTCTCTACCCAGCAGCTGACGAATATGAAAAACCAGGTTACAGTATGGACTTCCTTCGGATGCACTTTGAATCAACTCCATTGCACCTCGAGAATCCATTTGCACCTCCACTTGCCTTGCCCGTCATCCCAAGCAATCTTCAACCCGATGTTGATTCCCATTAGCTCCGCTCATGTGATAGAGCCTCCCCCTAGGTTGGCGGTGAAAGCCTGTACCAGCCTTCCTTCATCTCTATGAATCACACCTCACGCACCTGCACTTCTGATTTGGGTCCAAATGTACACATTTTACCCTCACTTCTTATACGTTATGCTTAGTAGATCACAGTCCCTCGACCTATTTTATGCTAGTTTGTGCTTGTTTTGATATATTTCAGGTCCTAGCACGTGTGGAAGGGTCAAGGACGCGTTTCGAGACGATTGGAGGTCAAAAAGAGCAAAAAAACCGAAGAAAAGTCCAAAGTCCCGCGTGACAATTGCCCCGTGACCGTGAAGCACAGACTTCCAGGTTTCGACGCTGCAGATCGGACGAGATGGACCTCCAGTTTTTTGGTTGAAGAGGAAGCGTGGTGGGAAGATTCTTCATCGGAATCCAACGTCGGCATCCTTTCCTCGCCCATCTTCTTCCCCGCGCCGATGCTTTAGGAGAGATATCCACAGCTTCCCATAGGGGTGTTCAAATGGTTACCGTAGAAATAACCAAACCAATTAAGCCTAAATTTCATTAACCATGGAATAAAATGTCTTAACCAAATCGTCCAAATTAACACGAAAACCAAATTAACCAAACCAAAGTTTAATTGGTTTGGTTAATCGGATTAACCAAATAGCATAACATTACATGAAAACAAACATAAACTATCATTTTATATAAGCAATAAACCATCCATAATTATCATCGTCATTCGAGTTATACATCATTCATCACCTCTCCACCTAATACATGTAGCTTACAACAAACCCCTTAACATAAATACATACCAATACCCCTCATCAGGAAGTTAAAGCTCTCTTACAAAACACTTAAACTATACATGGTTTGAGGTAGTTGTCATGGTATTGTACGTAATCCTAAAGTCTAGTAGTTGTCCAAAATGTTTTGATCCATAGTAAATATAGGCAGACCCATTTAATTTTTCATCCATAATGTTTTGGTTTGTTGTGCACATGGAAATAAAATAGGGAGTCACGAAAGTTTAGTTTGGTTTGGTTGGTTGCATGAAAGTATAAATAATTTTGTATATTAGTGTATCATTAATTGGTTTAATTGATTAGTAGTGTTCAAACCAAACCAAACCATCTAAACCAAATAAGCTAAATTGTTTAACCAAACCAAACCAATTATCCAAATTAACCAAACCAAATTAACCGAATGCTATCGGTTAATATGGTTACCACGGTAACCAATCCGTTTGAACACCCCTGGCTTCCCAGGTCTTGTCCTTTGAGTTTCTTTGGTCACCAAGTCGAAAAAAGCCAGGCCAAAGCAACAATTTTCCTAGATCCATGTAGTTGCAGAATAGGGCGAGCTAGATCTCAACACCAGTGTTTCATCGCCGGCTCCTCTGCCCCTTTTTTGTCGCCTCCCAGCTTTTCTATCAACTCTGGCGAAGACAGACAATGGAACCTCTGTTGGCTATTGCATCTCCAATTTCTTCCTCCCGCTGATAATTATTTTTGTAAATTAATTTTTATTAAATAAGTAATATAATAAATCATATAGACAAGTAAGTGGAATGATGAGGTGAAAAAATACATTTATTTTTTATTTCCTAAAAATTTCCACGTCATATAGTTAAAGGTGAAACTTTATAGTTGACTGCCCCGTAGGACAAATTTAACGGAGTGTAACTACCGGTGACTAACGGTGAAACTATTCGTAAAGTTAATGGCGAATAAGAAAAAAAATTGGACGACAAACGTGAAAAAATTATATAATTTGAGTGACCAATAATGTAATTTAGCCATTTTTTAATTTAAAATGTGGCGTGGCAATTACGTGGCATTGACGAGACTAGGTGGACACGACATGTCATCCAAGTGGCATCCACATTAGTCTAACATTCATTTAACTTACGGACGGTTAAAGTATTTGATGGAAAAGACTAAATTAGTCAAAACAAGTTTGAAAATTGTGGCTATTTATGTGTATTTTTAAAAAATGAGTATTATTCTAATTATGGTTATGTAAATGTATTTTTTCTTTATTTTTTGCAATCTCTGATATCTCTTTCCTCCTAAATTCACTCCACATTCTGAGTCTGTCTTCGGCTCCTCCGTCGATCTCCCTCTCCCTCTCTCTCTCCGTCTCTCCGATCGCCATGCCAAATCCCCACCATCTGCACGCGCCGCTGCGGCCGTCGCCGTCTTCTTCCTCGTCCGCACAATCTTTAGCCTCCAAGCTGATCCTTCTGCTCACAGTCCTCCCTCTCTCTCTGGCAGCTTTGGCCTTCATTCTACAATGGAAGGGAGACGGAGGAGGACTCCTAACCGATCCGGCTTCCGCCACTGCTCGTTGGGCTCCACAGGGTTCTCATAACAACCACGAGGTGTTTCCTGGGATGGAAGCCTCCGCTGCGTCTCTGCTGTCTCCTAAACCACATCAATCGTCCGATTGTTTCAGTCTTGCAAAGAGCGGGTCTCCATCATTTCCTTATTTTCGTGATTGGAAGTTCGATTTCGAAGCTAATCTAAGGCCTAAGGTATATTCATTTAGTAATCCATTTTTTGTGGCTTCTAATCTGTGGTTTGGCCTGTTTGTGTGACTTTAATGTGTTTCAGCGATCTGAGTTGTGATGTAAATTCTTTTAGTTTACTTTGCGGTATGTTATAGTTGATTTGTTTGAACGAGCTGGATCCGCACCAAAGCTATGCTGTTTTTTTTTCCCATACACTTCGCATTCAATTTGATGTTGACAAATGATTGCTTTTGACTCATGGCGGCTTTTGCCGTATGCTGTTTGGCTTGATGTCTAGTGTGCTTAACTTTGGGCATCTACTAGCGGGGTCTATATCCAAGAATTTCCCTTCTGTTTGGTTTACCTTGTCCTTCTTGATGCTCTTATTAATTTATTGCCCTTTGGTTTCATGGTAGTATATCTTGATATTGGTTGGATATATGCACTTGAAGAGCTAAAAAAGTTCATCTTGCTGGAGGAAGTTGAGAGTTGAGGCAATTCCTTAGTTTAGATGTTTCTTTTACTTCTCCTATAATCTCTCCTTTTTAGTCCTGTCTATCAATGGGTGTCTAGAGTGGAGGATTTACATTAAGTTCAAAGCTCTCTCCATTATGGTATATTTCGTGTTTCTCATAATGCAGATCTGTGTAACTACAAGTACATCAGCCAGCCTAGATCAAATTTTGCCTTGGATGTTCTATCACAAGGTTATTGGGGTGTCAACATTTTACCTGTTTGTAGAAGGGAAAGCAGCCTCACCAGGCGTATCTAAAGTTCTTGAATCTATTCCTGTAAGTTATTCTGATTTTGTATTTCTTGTCAGGATCAGTTTTTCATAACTCGTCGTTGGATTTGCAAGGGTTTACTCTTGACTTTTTTTCTTCCAATAACTTGTTATTGAATGATTATGGAAATATGTGCAGGGAGTGAAAGTGATTTACAGAACAAAAGAGCTGGAGGAGCAACAAGCGAGAAGGTGGGTGGATTTTGCTCAGCAGAGATCAAGTGATGCAATGAATAACATATGTGGACTTCTAAATTGAACAAGTAGAATGTTCCACTAGTTTCCTTCTTTCCCTAGTATTTTCTCATACCAGTTGTTTTCCCCTTTGAATAGTAGCGTCTTTTTCATATGGCTTTTTTGGTAAAGAATTAATGTTTAAATACATACTGGCCAGGAATATCTCATAATTGTTTGTTTGCTTGCTAACCTTCTAACACTGTTACATCTGGACCTGCATGTCTGATTCATTATGAGGGTGTTTGATGTTTTCAAGTAGGTGTCTGGCCTTTTTCTTTGCTCACTCTGTTTTTCTTGTTCTGCTTCCTTTCAGCCGTATTTGGAATGAGACATGGCTGTCAAGTTTCTTTTACAAACCATGCAACTATGAGTTGTTTGTTAAACAATCTCTCAACATGGAGATGGCTATTGTGATGGCCAGGGTATGTATTTGCAGCGTTGTATTAAATATTGGTACCTTTACTTGACCATAACAGATTCCTTTTTTCTTTATTTACTTAGTCCCTAAATTCTCAAATATTAGGATGCAGGTATGGATTGGATACTTCATCTCGATACTGATGAACTCATACACCCTGCTGGTTCTAGTGAATATTCTTTGAGGCAGTTACTTCTTGATGTTCCGGGTGATGTGGATATGGTTGTCTTCCCAAACTATGTGAGTGACTTGTTAGGTTTAATTTTTATGGTTGCACATATTAGGAGAGTCTGTTCTACATGCCAATACCTCTCTCTGTCTCTGTCTCTGTTCTAAATGGCAATACCCATCTCTCTCATTTTAGATGATAGAGTTGCTGTTGTATTTCAGGAGAGCAGTGTTGAACGAGATGATGTCAAAGACCCTTTTAGTGAGGTAAATGCTTGTCTCGTACCTGTTGTCAATTCTATGAAAACTGTTTGGTTAACTTTTTGTTAATCTTTTAAGTTTTTTTTTTTTTTTTTTTTTGTTGTGATTTACATATACTGTCTTAAGAAAGTATGATATTGCATGGAGTCTGATGCCCATGTCTTAAAACAGGTTTCAATGTTCAAGAAAAATTATGACCACCTACCCAAGGATATATATTTTGGCATGTACAAGGAATCTACTCGTGGTAATCCCAATTACTTCTTGACTTATGGAAATGGGAAATCTGTTGCTAGAGTTCAGGAACATCTTCGACCAAATGGTGCACATAGATGGCACAATTATATGAAAACTCCCAGGTGTGTTGACCATATTAGTTATTTGGAATCATGTGGGTTCATGTGTTTCTGCCCATCTAGCTTGCATATTAATCACTGGCGCAGATGTATTTTTTATTGGACGTGCAAGTCAAATACCTTCATTCTATTGTTGGAAGTCTTTGACATGGTGTTGGTGTCAATTTCAGCTGCTTGCTACTTTGAATTATGACATTGTTGTCTTGGTTGATTGACTGAATAATCATTCTTTCTTTATTTAAGCGAGGTAAAATTGGAGGAGGCTGCAGTGCTGCATTATACTTACGCCAAATTTTCAGACTTGACATCTAGACGTGATCGATGTGGCTGTAAACCAACAAAAGATGACGTGAAAAGATGCTTTATGTTGGAGTTCGACAGATCTGTGAGTGGATGGGTTGTATTTATTGGCTGATTGTCTCAGTGTTGGTCCTTTATCAATATGTTACGAGTTGATTTAAAGTGAAACATATTGCAGTGGTTTGTTCTTGACGATCTTGTCTGACAAAGTAAAATTTTCTTATTGAAGGCATTCATTATAGCTTCTACTGCAACTGAGGAAGAAATGAGAAATTGGTAAGTGTTGAGTGGGGAACTTCTTTATTTTCTTTGATCTCACGGAAGAGAAAGTAGCAACATTCTTATGTACTATTTGCATCAGGTATCGTGAACATGTTGTTTGGGGTGACAAGGATCTGAAGCTGAAACTCTTGAGGAAGGGCATTTTAACTCGCATTTATGCTCCCATGGTAAGCGTTACTGGGAAAAATCATTGTACTATGTCATATGAGACTAGAAATTAGATTTTGAAAGGAACCTTGGACTCAGTCCCCGACCTATCATTTGACCAAGCAATGAATCGAACTGGATAACCAAATATAAGTAATAGAATAGACAGTATAAATCAGTTTCATAGTTTAATAGATTGATGTTGGAAGACTCTTTTATATTAGATTCATCTTTCTAAAGCCCAGATTTGGTTAGTTTCTTTGAATGCTTCAATTTTCTATGTGTGAATGCTGCTTCTTAAGGGTGTAAATGGCTTGTTTGTTCAGGCAATAATACAGGGTCTTAAGGAGTCTGGTGTGTATAGCTCTATCATTGCATCAGCCCCATCTATTCTTTCAAAGGTTGAGAGTGGCAACGCATCAAGAGTCTCTGAAACACTACCCTCAAACAAGATCAGGAAAAGCAGCACACTGAATCAGGCAACTGCTAGGAAAGTGTTGACATTTGAGGCTAATGCATTCCATGAAGCAGCTGTCCCTCCACTACCTCCTCCTGCAGCAATTGATGATTTGGTACTTGTGGAAAAAGCTTGATCTGTGTTCTAGTCCATATGCTTGCTCTTTTGGCCCTGTCCAGAAGGTGATTTAGTTTGCTGTTCAAGGGAAGAATCATGGTTGGAAAGAACGAGCAACGGAGAGGGATTGTGTGTTGCAACTGTATGTATTTGCTTTAGTTGGTTGGTTCTTCCCGACCATTATCCAAATCGCACTTGTGTGCATGTAGAAGAGGTACTGGATTCATCCGTTCTACTGGGTCTCAGCCTGATTCTTCCGACTGGAGAGACTCGGTGTACCATTGTTTTGTACAGCAACCAAGAGTGTTCTGGTAGAGTAAACGTATTACCTTTGTAATAGCTAGGAAAATCATTCTTTTGACATTTGGTACGAGTGATATATATGAGGTGAATGCCATTAGGTCCAAACTTAAACAAAACATCCATTTGTATTATATTCCAACACCAACGAACAGAAATGACGCAATTTCTCAGTTCTTTCTCCTGCCAATTTCACCATCCAATATGGCATGCCTTGTTAACACGATCTCCTTAACAAGATTCCTGTAAGTAAATGGCCTAACTGCGGCTCTCAAGAACAGTTCAGGAGGAATTTTACTCTTCTTAATCCTCTTCCTCCATCTACCAATTCCAGCAATCTTCCATTCTTCTGCACTAACTTTGGCTCTCACTCCTCTGAGGGACCTCTCATCTCCAACTCCATCTACTTTTTCATCATCCTCGTCACTTGCCTCTTCACTTGCCTGAGGTTCCATGGATTTCAGCTGCCTACTGTAGAGTGCATTAGTCCTCTTCACACTCTCTTTCACAATCTCCTCCATTGCTTCTCCACTACTCACTGCTTTGCGAAATTTCTCCTCCCAATAGTTTGGATTCTCCTCCTCCTCCTCCTCATCGTCATCTTCTTCTTCTTCCTCCTCTTCTTCTTCAGCAGACTCATCATCTCCTTCATCCGATTCATGAGCTCCATCTTCCATCTCCATAATCGTATCCTCGCTATCATCTTCTATCCATTCAGTGAACTCTAGATCATTTGTATCATTATAGTTCCCATCTTTTTCCTCCCCTTCATCTGGTGCATCACATCCCAGTTCCATCTCCTCTAACTTGGCCTTCCATTCTTTTGTGTAAGGATGCAACAGCTGTAAAGGATGATTCTTTAAGAGGAATTCCAAACATCCCAATTTCCTCTCATCACTCAACTTCTCAAAAGCCTTCACCACATCATCCACATATGCCTTCTGGTTAATCCTCACAATCTTGCACAACCCTTCGAAATACGTCACAAAAGTAGCTGCTCCATCTTCACTTTTCAGCTCAAACAAGCAATCCTTCTCTGTTTCAGGGTCCAAAAGTGGCACCAGAGCTTTGAGAAACTCTTCCTGGGGCTCAAATCTACACTGGAAAACAGGTCTTTTCACGTACACGATATCGGGCCTGAACCAGCTAGCACATCGGGCAATCAATTTCCGAGCTTTGTTGCCTAACCTCCCCATCAAATTCCACTTATCCACCCTCTGCTCTTTGCTTGCTTGAACCACAATCTCACTCACCAATGTCCACTGCTGCCATGGAAGCTCACTCAATCTCCACCTAGGGTGCCTCACAAACACCCAGTACCTTCTAAGGCCGACATCTTTGTCCAATTCATCTAGCCTCTGGCCGAAATCCACGTTCATATCATGCTGCTCTATATGCTCCCAATCCTCCTGGCTCTTCGTCTCGCTGTACATGGTAACGCATTCATCAGTAATCGTCCCTCTGATGGGCTCCCCGATGACTACCCCACGCCATGAGTAAGGACCGAACTCTCCGTACTTGTACCAGTCGTACGGGTGCTTCAGATTGGGATCGTCCTTGTCCATGAACCGGACCATCCGATCGTACCCGAGCCCCATCATGTTGAGCTCGTCCTCGGTGAAGTTGTCCGGGTGGTTGTTGTGGGAACCCTTGAGCTTGTAGAAGTTGGACTCTGCTATCTTCCAAGTTTTCCGTCGCGCGCTCTGCTTGATTTTCCGGCGGACCTCCGCGTTCCCTTCAATTCGGCCAGTGGACGGCCCCCCTGGTTTCTTCTTGCTCCGGCCGGCGAATGCCCGGACTTCTCGCCTTTGAGATGCATTTCGCCAGGCTCGGTCTTGAAGAGATAGACAGATTATTGGGAGAAAGGAGGAGTAAGAAGCTGTTAGAGTCCGGGTTTTCGCGGATAGAAGAGAGGGGTTGAAGGTGGGGTTTAGGGTTTTGGAGAAGCTGAGCTCCATTTCCGCTGCCAATTTTGAAGTGGCACAATAGCCTACCCTTTTTTTTTAACAGCACAATAGCCTACCCATTGGCCAAAGTTGGATGGTTATATATATATATAATACCTCCGGTCGGGTGCCACTTAAGTTTGAGAATTGGAGTAGATATACCACTTAACTTTGAATAGAGTATCTGGTACCATTAAAGTTGTCAAAACGTGCATCTGTCTATTTTTCCATCCAATCCAAAATTTTAATTACTTTTTGATACCCAAAACTTTTAAAAACATCCGAAACTATATTTCAACAAGTTTTATACAATATAATAAGGGCTAATACCACTACAACACCCGAACTATCGACAAAATGCCACTTGTATCCTATTTTATTCAATATTCCATTCATGTCCTCAACTATGATACTTTGTGCCATCTGTATCCTATCAATTTCGTTGACCGTTAAAGATAACGGTTGACCAAACAGTGGTCAACGCCAAGTTGACTTTTGTTGACGTGGCAAAAAATGCGACTGCCACATAGATGCCACGTCACTGACCTCAGATTTTTTTAATTCAAATTAAATAAAAATTGAGTTAAAATAAAAAAAAATCATTGCATCTGTTCCCCAAAATTTTCCCATAAAAAAAAAATTTCCCGGATCGAGAAATCCCTTCCACCTAACAAATCTTCGTTTGTGATTACAGATCTGTTCCCCAAAGTTTCTTTTCTCTCATCCCTCTCCTTATTCTATTATCCACACTTGCCTTCACCATCTCCACCCAGCAATCAGACAGATTCATCTTCCATGGCTTCAGCAATCGAACCAGCAACCAGCAGCAGCTGCTCAGGCTCGACGGAGCTCGAGAGATTCTCACCAACTTCGCCTTTGCCATGGTCCCGAAATCCCCAAATCTCGGCGGCCACGGCCTGGCTTTTTATGCTCACCGGCTGTGGATTTCTCATACGTCGTCACCAACCAGCACTCGAATAACCAGTTGGCTCCCCTAATTCTCCTCCCTGGAATCGGATCTCTCCGATCTGTAATTTTGATGGAGTTGAGGGTGAGAGAAGAGGAAGAAGTTGGGAGCCTGCGAGGAGATTTGGTTCGGATTTAGGTTTTGGAGCGGGAGAGCGGCGACAAGCCATCCGGGGAGAGGAAGTTGGGATTTCATCGAGGAAGAGGAATTTGATTTTCTTTCTCTTGGTTTGCTTCTGTTGCTTCTTGCTTGTAGGAACTTCGTTTTTGTTCGTATTTGGTGGATTCAGAATCGGTAGGGCAGATTATTTGGTTGTTTGACTACTTCGTTTTGGTTCGATGTTTTGGCGGATTCAGATTTGGTGAATGAGGGAGATGAATTACCGGAGGAGGTGTTGGCGACGCCGACGTCTTGGAGCATGTCAGGGTCGGAGGCGAAGCAAGCGGCGGAGATGGCGGAGAAGACGAGGAGGTAGGAGAGGAGAGCGGTGGGGGCCATGGCAACGCAGTGGTCGGAGGAGGAAGAGAAGCGGCGGAGATGGCGGAGAAGACGAGGAGGTAGGAGAGGAGAGCGGTGGGGGCCATGGCAACGCGGTGGTCGGAGGAGGAAGAGAAGCGGCGGAGCTGGCTCTGGCTCTGCTCAGAAGCGGCGGAGAAGTTGCAGAGAGGAAAAAGAGAATTGCTTTAAGTTTTTGTTTTTATTTTTGAAATTTTTTTCTTCTTATTTTAGTAATTTTGGATAGAAAAATAAATAAAATTTTGATTTGAAATTCCACGTCAGATGCCACATCAACGCTGACTAGGATTTCTGTTAAATACTAACGGTCAATGCTGGTCAACACTAACGGAAAAATAGTTCAGGACACAGATGGAATATTGAAAACAGTAGGACACAAGTGGCATTTTTCGGATAGTTCGGGTGTTGTAGTGGTATTAGCCCATATAATAATTAAAAAACCTTCTAAACATATTGTTGGTAGAATGATTACTAATTGTTTTTCAATAAAATAGATATATTAGTAAAAATAGTAAATGAATATCAAGAAGAATAATAAATATGCTAGAATATAATAATAAATATTGGAATATCTATTTAAACCCCCTTATTCAATTATAAGCACCATTAGAAATAGTTAACATAGTTTTACCAAACCAAAATAGTTAAAATAGAACCTAATCGATCATCAATACATCAAAATAAAAAAAGGATAAATGAAACAATCATAAAAAATTAAAAATATTTCATTAATTGAAAAAAATTAAAACGAAAAGAGATCAAAAGTAACCAAGTAATAAAAAAAAATATAAAAGCTACAACATTCGGTAAAAAATGTAGAAAAGAAAATATGACTATAAAAGCTATAACATTGTTTAGTTACAACATTCATGGAATAATTCAATTATTAGAACAGATAATGATAATTGAAAATAATTATAATGATAACTGATTCTAAAATTTCTATTCAAAAATTGCTTTGATATCAAGTATTCAAAAGAGGATTCTAACTAAACAATAAAATATGATATTTTTCATAAGTCCAAATGATTTTTTTATAATAAGATAAGTAGAAGGACCAATTATGAAATTTAGAAAATGGAATATTCTGTTAACTTTAACGGAATGAACTTAACAGTAAACTTAAGTGGTATAATAGAGTTCAGTGGTATGCGACGCCCCATTCAAACTTCAGTGGTATGCCTATTCCAATTCTCAAACTTAAGTGGCACTCGAGGTATTTTACCCTTATATATATCATGTGTCTCTTATTTTTTGTAATAAGATGTGCCCCTGCCTTTATATGATAACGAGATCGGTCGACTGAACCCCAATAGAGTTTTGATACAACCAGTAAAGTAGCATACTACTCGGCACAGTGATATGGTGATAACCAATAGGCAAATAATGACCAAGATTGGCCAAGTAATCGGCGACAACATTTGCCTCAATATACACGTGGACAATGCAAACCTGTCAATCCCAGGCCATCCATCGACGGAATCTCCGCGATACTCGTGTAGTGAAGATGATGAGGCGTGGCTGTCTCTAGATCTAAATGAAAGAAAAAATGACAAAATATATTAAAGAATAATATTATGATTTGAATCTTAAAAAAAGGAATGCTCCGGAATCACATGAATCTTTAGTTAGAATGGGATTCCAAGTCAGCACCTATAAGAGCCATAGCCGTAGATGAATCGGTCTGCAGGATAACCTTCATAACTCCTGGCTCCCATGTGACCTTAAGCCCATGCACAATCCCTGCCAACTCTCCCCTAGTGATTGAACCCTCCTCCCCCCCCCCCCCCCCCCCCCCCCCCCCCCAAGGTTCATAGTGAAAGCTGAGATGAAGCAGTGGTCATCTCCTCGCACGAATCCTCCTGTCGCTGAGCTAGAAGGAGAGTGACTAACATATTCATTTGTATTGAGGCAGGCGCACCCTGCCTGAGGTGGTTGCCAACTGATAAGTCTCGGCTGTCGATCGGAGTCCCTCGGGTTTGATGATCTTACTCTCTTTCCCTAAGGCGTTTAGGATCCGTCGCTTCAATTGTGCAGCATGATCACTTCGATCCATGCAGATTGTTGTCAATGGTTAGCACATGTCAACAACTATCCCATCTTAAGCCAAGTTTAACCTAAGATGGCATTGTCGTATAGTGCTAATCAATGTCGTATTTTACTTGGGTCCGGGTACCCTAGCCTACTTCCACCTATTTGCTAATTAGTTAATCGGTTTTGGAGGGTTGAATGAAGGAATTGAGGAGATAACTAGACTAGAGATCGATCAAAGCTAAAGCAGGTATTTCTGGGAACTGATTCGTGTCCAAATGCACACATTTTACCCCTCATTTCTTGTCCGCTTTGTTTAGTAAATCACCATCCCTCGACCTATTTTACGCTAGGTTGTGCTTATTTCGATACATTTTAGGTCCTAGTACGCGTGGGAAGGTCGAGGACGAGTTTCGGGTCCATTGGAGGTCGAAAAGCGTGAAAAAGTGATTAATGCCACCGTTACAATTGCCCCGTGACCATGTACTGGCTGGGTTCCAGAGCCATTCCAGAGGTTACTGACGCCAAGTCAGTTCACAGTCATAAGACCGTGAACTTTAGCTCCAGACCGTGAAGTGTTGTAGTGAAACGACGCGAATTGGTTCGAGTTCACGGTCCAGGCTTTGAGTTCACGGCCGTGAACTCAGAACGTGAACAACCTTCGATCTGGGTATAAAAGGCAGCAGCAGAAGGAAGAAAGGGGGAGCTGGTTTTTGGGAGAGGAAATAGTTTCTTTCTCTAGAGTTTCAACCCAAAACACCAAAGGGGAGTTCTAGAGAGAGAGAGTGAGTGCTTGAGTGATCTTGGAGCTTAATTCGAGGCTTGGGTTGATCTTGAAGACAAGGATTTAAACCTTAAGCCTGATCAACAAAAGGACCCTTGAGTTGATCTCCTTAAGCCTGATCGGATCCTTCTAAGCTAATTCTTTAAATCTGGCCACTGATTCCCTCACTGTATCCCAGCATCTTTGGAATAAGAGAGGATTTAATCCATCCATGTCGGGTTCCTTCAACGCGCCCATACTGCTTATGGCACAATATAGCTCTTCAGCGGTGGGACAAGGATCGAACCCCTGCCAGCTCCCATCACCGAGTGATGGGAAGGTCCTGCCCAGCTCGCTTGACGTCGTCCATCATGAGTAAACAGCTCCAAATAGAACTATAGGGCTAGATGTTATAGTCTATTTGGGTCATCGATCAAGTTCTTGTTTGCATCTTTTAAAGTCAGAATCCTGTTCCTCTTACTCAGTCAAAGGGTTTTAGAGGGGAAATGATCTAGTCACTCCTTGACTTCTGACACCCAAGAAGTTCCTCATGTAAAAGGACTGACTCCAACTCATTCTGGACATTCTCAATCTGCAGGTTCAGGCTACCTCCATTATCCCGTTTCTCTAGCTCCTCCAATCTTCGGATCAACGTGTCCTTCTTCTGTTTTATGTGCCCGAATACAAGGACATTCCATTCCCTAACATCCCGGGAGAAAGCCTCTACCAACTCAGAGTATGAGTTACCCTTGGTTTAAGCCTCCTGGAGTATAGGCTGGAACTCATCATGGGTAAGCCACGCAACGACGAACTGAAAGGTTCTGGCCCCCGGTCGCATATGAGTGTGGGTCTGTATCAGCAAGGGTCTATGATCTGACTTTACTTTGGCAAGATAATGAATCGACGACTCAGGAAATGTCAAAAGCCACTCGTTGTTGGCGAGAGCACGGTCCAGTCTTTCTCAAACCCCAGTGCAAAACCAAGTGAAAGGCGGTCTCGTGAACCCCAGGTCATCTAGTCTTGAATTGTGGACACAATTATGGAAATCCGGAATTCTACTGGCGTAAAAAACAGACCTCCCAGCTTCTCAGATGGGTGAAGGAAAGTCTCCTGCTAGGAGCCAAGGCTGGTCCGCATATTCAAATACTCTGAGTATGCTTAGAATGTATTGAAAACATAGGGGGGGGGGAATTTGCTGGCAACAAAATGAAACTAATATTGACATATATGCTTACAAACAAAATTTTGCATATATAAAATGTCCATAAATGACAAAACGAGAATTGCTTCTCTCGTCTTCTGCTATAAGAGCTTCTGAGTCTGCTTCGGCCTTTCTATATCTCAGACTATCACAAGGTTATTTTTCAAAATAAAACCTTATTCCACCCATGGACCAAATGGCTTTCATGGTAAGAATCTATCTGCGACGGCTCAACACTTCTTGGAGACATGTGACATTCCGAAAGATATTATGGCCTCAACAATTATCTTTATTCCGAAGGTGGAGCATCTAGAGACACTTGCTCAATTCCGGCCCATCTGCCTCAACAATGTGCTCTCAAGGTTATCACTAAAGCTATAGTTAACAAACTCAAACCTCTTATCCTAAACTCATTGCCCTACTCAAAGTGGGCTTATTAAAGGCAACCATATGAATGATAATATAATATCCTCATTCTTCAAGAAGCTCTTCACTCTCTTTGTAATCAAAAGGGCAAGGAGGGTTTATCATCAAGATAGATTTAGAGAAACCTATGAAAGACTCCATTGAGACTTTATTCGGGACACTCTTAGCGAAATCGGCCTCCTCGACACTTGAATTAACAGAATTATGATATGTGCAAAGAAGAAAAGATGAGAATCAATTGGAATGGTGAACTTACTTCCACCATCAACCCCACCATAAGAGTTCACAGATAGACCCCTTGTCCCTTATCTTTTTTTTCCTTCGTCTGGAAAGACTTTCACATCATATCGTGTAAGAAGTGGATGAGAATATTTGGAAACTGATCTCTCTTTCTAAGAACGGTCCCAAGCTATCTCATTTACTCTTTGCTAATGTTTTGGTTTTATTTACAGAGGTTGTGGGGAGCCGAATTGTGGTTATATGATCCTGTCTTGAAGATTTATGTGTGAGCTCAAGGGAAAAAGAATAAAATTTCACCAATCAGCCATATTCATATCTCCACACATACATTGTGATAATGCTCAACGACTAAGCTTAAAAGTTGGGATTAATCTCACTACTTATTTTGGTAGATTTTTGGGATTGAAAGCGATTAATGGGAAATCACGAAAAAGAGGTGTAGGGAATTGATTATGAGAATTCAATAGAAACTTGGCTGGTGGAAAACCTGACACCAATCGGTGGTAGCGTGTATTAAACTGGTGGATTTTGTCTCGTCCTCTATTGTTGTAAATCCCCTTGACATTTACAATAGACAGTTTGTTTGGGCGACGAAGATGGGAGATCCAAACTTTATCTGGTTGCTTGGGATTAATTAAAGCTCCCTCGAAGTCAGGGTGCGGTGGGGGTCTGATCAACTAGACTTGCCAATCAAGTCATGTTAGCCAAAGGAGTCTGGAAACATGTCTCTGGTGATCAGTCTTTTTGGGAAAAAGGTGACGAGAAGAAAGAATGAACACAACAAGAAAGTGCTCAATTTACTCACCAATATTAAGGGAAGTTCATTTGTCTGTCACAGTTCCTCTCCATCTGTCACCATTTTGCACATAGGTGTTGCTTGCAATGTCAAGAATGGTAAGAACATTAAATTTTGTAAAAACTCTTGGATTTGCAGGGACCCCTATTGGAATTGCAACAATAGTTGTCCCACGAAGCTGCAAGACAGAACAATGGCGGATTATTGGGATTCGAGCACGCCCCAAATGGCCAGTTGAGCTATTTGAGAGGTTAACTGTTTCGACAGCTTATCGACCATTCGGTCCAAAAAAATTCAAGTACTTAAGTGAAATGAGTCAACCTGACAGTCGGGTCACAATTTTACCGGTCTGACCAACCAGTTCGGCTCAACTTTTAAAATACTGTAGAACTCATTTAACTATTCAGTTGTCATATATACCGGAGTTATAGCCTCTTGAGGAACTGACTCACTTCTACTGTCACCCTAGGAATTGGCCAAGTGAAACCACTTCCTAAAGCGTAGTATAGCGGGTTTGGGTTTAAATGTCAACCCGGGTCCTAGATTTGATGACTACTCGGTGAATTATTGTTATCTAGCAATGAAACTTTAATGCAAGTCTAAACTAACAAACAAACAAAGCAAGTAAACGGTTGTATTCAGGTTAAGAGAGGTCACCCGGATATGGTTCCCCCTAGACTGCGGTTAAGCCGGATTGCAATTACCAAGTTCAGGTTCTATGATAGTTATACTGCGGAAGGTTCTTAAGTAGTCTGAAGTCTTGACTAAAGGTCTTCAGACCCTAACAAACAAAACCCCCACTAGCGAAGTAAATCTGGTACAGAATAGTGAGTTGGTTCCTCGACTAAAGTCACCAACTCCCTACCTTCAATCAAGGATGCTCTATTAACCTAGGCAGATATTCTCATTCTAGGTTAAAGCAGAAACAACAGGAATTTGATCAGGATTCATGTCATTCAATCATTCAAACCTCAATCGAATATAATCAAATCATAGAATCAGTACTTGGGTTCATACAATCAAAGCTAACATACAAATCTAGGGTTCTCCATACCCAGATGAATGGGAGAACTACTCCATGGAGAAAGAAGCAAAAGCAGAATCAGACGCGGAATTCATACTGTGAAGGATGGATTCCTGCTCCTGGACGTTGATCGGCACTTCTCCAAGCTCAAACTGGCCTCCAATGGTGATGAAGATCAAGCTAGGGCACTTGGAGACTCTTGTTCGTCGCTTTCTCTCTCTAGGAATCGCTCTGTCTCTCTAAAACTCGAATCCCCCCGACTTGTGGCTGGAAATTGGCTTAAAACCAGAAAATCCCGACTCACACGGGCAGGCCACACGGCCGTGTGGCCCACCCAGTTGCCCGTGTGGCTCCAAACGCTGCGTATCGATTAGTTGAATTCCAGGCTTCTAACACGGCCAGGGTCACACGGCCGTGTAGCTCACCCAGCCTGGCCGTGTGAAGCCTCGCAGAATTCCACACGACCAAAGTGCAACTTCACACGGCCGTGTGGAAATTATCTGTGCCCGTGTGAGGTCTCGCACAATCCCACACGGCCAAATTGGTCACTTGCACGGCCGTGTGGGTTGTGGGTGTGCCCGTGTGACTTCCTTTGTGACTTGCCTCGCGCCCGATCTTCGCCTAATCGACCCCGAACTTGCTCCTAAACCTTCATTCACTTGCCAGGACCTTAAATATCACAAACAAGCACAACCTAGCGTGAAATCGGTCTAAAACACGAGAAACCACATCTCAAACGGTGTAAGAACAGGGGTGAAAACATGTGTAATTAACGGTCTATCAGGAACCCCGTTCACCTTGATCCCATCCGTCAACTCATCAAATGACTTGACATGTGAATGTGCATCCTCACTCATCATCCCATTGAATTGAACCGCACTTTGAAGCATCAAAATTGTGTCTGGCTTTATCTCATAATCATTATTGGGCAACGTCGGATGAAGAATAGGTGATTGAACATTGTCCACACTTGGCCTAGAGTAAGCACCCATTGTTCTTGACCTTGGTGGTACTAAAGCTTGACGTTCTGCGATTGGTGGAGGTTGAGATTTTGCAACTCTTCTTAGATTTCGAAGGGTCCTCTCTATTTCAGAATCAAAAGGTAATATTTCCAAGGAATCCCTTTTTCTCATACAAAGATGCTACAAAGAAAAACCCTCAACAACCCATGACGTACAAAGTTGGATAACAAAACAAACAATGATACAAATACAAAAGAACAAAACACGAAACAAACACACAAAAACAAATAATACGAAACAAACACACAAAAACAAACAGTACGAAACAAACACACAAAACAAATAAAGCAAGGTAAAGACTAACTAACAACTTAATGGTTTTCTACTAGTTACCAAGGTTCCTTGGCAACAGCGCCAAAAAGCTTGATCACTTGAATTTGTGCAGGTTATTGTTAGAGTTTAGCATGTATAAACAACTATACCATCCTAGTCTAAGTTTAACCTACAACGGCATTGTCGTATAGTGGTAATCAAGGTCGTATTCTAATCGGTCCTGGTACCCTAGCCTACTTCCCCCCTAGTTGCTAATTAGTTAATCGGTTTTTGAGGTTTTGAGTGGAGGATATGAGGAAACACTAGTCTAGAGATTGATCAAATCTAAAAGCAGGTACTTCGGGGAACTATCACTCCCCCTAACTTAGGGTTATTATGTATAACTAGATACTTAAGGTCATCGAATGGGGTGAGTGAGATCTTTTCCGTGGGCTTCCGTGGTCATCCACACGCCTTCGAGTACGCCTCCCCTAAACCCATGATCCAGTCACCTGGACTAGGGTATCGTATTTGGGGCATTAAGCTTATGTCTCATTTCAATTGAACTATTCACCGTCCACACTAAGGTTTCATCTCGGGTTTCATTTAGGAAGGCTACCTATAGCAGGGGTTCGGTCGCCTCTACCACTATAAGCCCCCATAAACCGCCAGATGACGCATACCCGTCTAATCCTAGAACTCCATACCCAACACGGTATCATAAAGTAGGCTAAGAGGGAATATTAGGGTAACTTAACCAAGCATCATCATTTAGGAAAGAGTGGCATTAAAATAAACTAGACAAACACAATCATTCATTCAAATCCTAAAATACCCATACATACATACATACATACATACATACATACATACATACATACATACATACATACATACATAGTAAACCCTAAAGTTAGGGTTTGGGGTTTAGAACCCCTAGTACCTTAGAGGACTACTCCATAAAGGAGGGAAGAAGATACATGGTAGAAATAGAAAAAGACTTGGGGTTGGAGAAGATGTCTCATTGATCCTAACTCCTCCTTCTTCTCCTCCTCTTCTCCTTCCTTTGGTTTCTCTCTCTTTTCTCTCTCTCGAACCAGAAATTTTCTCTCAAAATCAGCTCTCCTTAAAAAGGAAAAGTGGTCTTGTATTTATAGGCATTATTGATTTGAGAAAGTTCGTGGCCTGATGTAAGGAGACCGCGGGCAGGATCTTTGGTCTCTGGGTCGTGATCTCTAAATGCAGTCGTCGAGGTATTTGGGAAGGGGAATGTCGTGGGCTGACTTCATGGTCGTGATCCACTAGTCGTGGCCGCGATCTTCCTCGTGTACAAGATGAATGTTGATCGTCACTTGATTGTGGAGATGTTTCTCCAAGGCTCCTTCATTGCGAAGTTCGCGTTCTAAACCTCCAAGATCGCAGTCGTGATCCATGGCTTCTGGGCCGCGATCTTCAGTTGGACTTCACGGCTTGTGATCCCAGTCGTGATCTTTGGCTTCTAGGCCACGATCTTTGATTACAGTTTCCATGCATCGAGTTTGTGAATGTGGAATAGACGATTGGGCGGCTAGGTAGCCTGTGAGTTTGAGCCGATCGTTTTCTTCTTGTGTGATAATTCCCTCTCACCACGGTGTGTAGCATTACAGTTTTAATTGGCGGGGAAGATGGAGGCATAGGAACAGCCCACGACCCAAAAGTTTACCGACCTGATCATATTATCCCTCAGTCAACCCTTTTGAGCCATGTGTCTAAGGGTCGTTCTAGTGTTAGGTAGCTCACACTACTTGAGCCTGATTGATTTAGATAGAGCGACCCTACTTTCTTTGTGTCTACACCGTTATCGAGTCACTCTTGTGTTTGGAAGCTCCATTCATATCATTTGAGCTTAAACGAGGTTTCACATGAGTAAGTTCTGTATGGTTTTGCTAAGAAGTGAAGTGAGTGTGGAGGTAGTTTTCAAAGTGAGCATTGTTCCTTAAGTTAAAAAATGTGGCATATTTTTAGCTCTCTATAGCCCTCAAAGAAAAGAGAAAAGAAAAGAGAAAGAAAAAAAAAAGTAATCAATAAAAGGGCAAAGTAGAAAAGAGAGTGGCCACCTAAAATATAATAAATGTTGGACATGCTCTTAGAAGTGGTTCTTGGCATGCAAGCTATAGAAACACTTACATGTTGTTGACCTCTACACTCTTGTGCTTGAATTGACTAGCTAATGTAGAAAGAAAGTATGTGTGACATGGTTTGGTGATTGGTTGTAGTTTGGAATTGGAGGAAATGCGGTTTTTGGCCGATGCTAGTGGCCATTGAGTATAGGAGAGGGTTCTAGTCAAAACCTTAGAACCTTTTTGTCTTAGGTTGAAGATGTGGAACCTCATGTTATGTTTGCCACCACCCAAAAAGCCTTTTTTCCATGTCCAAGACAATTGCCAGTCATCTGAACCCACGTCTAAGACCTCCGGACGAGCTAGTGACGACAACTATACTGGGAACTCTAGAGTTTAGAGGTTGCCGCCATGGTGGCAAGATGGTAGGGATGAGTGGTGACGATTGTGCACATCTTTTGCACCAAAAAGGTCCTGACCCCCTGGTCGAGAGTGAGGGATTCATTCTTGTTCTTGCATGTTCATATCTATCCTGGTGAGGACCTATGTTGCCCTGTTGTCTGTTCAGTTGACTTGAGTTCTATCCATGATCAGTTGTGATTGATTAGTGGCCCGGTCGAGACTTGCATTGATTGTGGATAGAATGAGAACTTTTCATTTGCCCATTTTTGATGCAATTGAATGTCATTAGTGGTGGATGCCAAATTTTTTTGAGACGGTTCAAGTGTCGATGCCCAAATAGTCATTTGAGATTCAAAGCCTTGTGCCTTTTGAAATGTCCCCTAGCTATCTCTGAAGGTTGAAATATTACCTAGGTTGAAAATGGTTTGCTTGGGGACAAGCAAATGTCTAAGTGTGGGGGAGTGATTCGCGCCCAAATGTACACATTTTACCCCTCATTTCTTATTCGTTTAGCTTAGTATTTCATCGTTCCTTACATATTTCATGCTAGGTTGTGCTTGTTTTGATACATTTCAGGTCCTAGCATGTGTGGAAGGGTCGAGGTCGAATTTTGGGATAATTGGAGGTTAAAAAGCACAAAAACCGAAGAAAAGTCCAAAGTCCGTAATAGTGAAGTGCAGGCGTCCAGGAAGCAGCCGCAGTTCACAGTCAAACAAGGGATTTCATGGTCTCCTAAGAACGTGAACTGGAGCCACAAACCGTGAACATCGAGCAATCCAGCGAGGTTTCAGAGGTATTGACGCCAAGGGAGTTCACGGTCACTAAGACCGTGAACTGGGGCCATTAACCGTGAACCCAGGAGAGTGAAGCGATGCGTTTTGGAGACGACTGAGTTCACGGACGCGTTCAGGTGTTCACGGCCTTGAACTGGCCAACGCATTCGTGAACTAGTCACTTTCGGGAAAATATGAAGACAACAACTTGGAGAGAGAAAAGAGAGCTGGTTTTTGGAGAGAAATTCAATTCCCTCTCTAGGGTTTGCCCAAAAAAACCAAAGGGGAGTTCTAGAGAGAGAGAGAGTGCTAGAGTGATCTTGGAGCATCATTGGAGGCCTGGTTGGATCTTGAAGACAGGGATTCAAACCTAGAAGAAGAAGAACAAGATCTTGAGCTCAAATTTGTAATCTCTCTCTTGAAACTCACTCTTTTCTCTTGGGCATTGTAGATCCCTAACTAATACTTTGCAATTACTTGTTTAGATTGAATGATTTTGTATGGATTTGCTTCAATTTGAGTATTAGAGGTGTTTTCATGGTGATTGTGCATAGTTGTGCTTTCCAAATCTTGTGTGCTTGCCTAACCTAGATTAGAGGAAAACCACACCTTTTTAGGTAGGCTTGACAAGCTTGGTTTTCCTGGGCGCTTTGTGCCTACTATCCAGGTTAGAGATGAGCATCCCCCTTGACTCAAGTTTGCATCTAGGTTGTTCGTGATTAAGCCGCTCAAACTCCGGTTTGAGGGAGAGACCTAGGCAACCCCTAGAGACTGAGTGAGAGGATCGATTCCGTGACAAATTGATCTCTAGTGAATCCATCCCGTGACAAATGGATCACTACTTGCTCCTCCTAGAAGTTCCCCTAAACGTCGTGAGTGGATCGATCTCGTGACATATCGATCGCTAGTGAATTGATTCTGTGACAAATCGATCACTAGTTGCTCACCCTCGTGGTTCACAACCACCTACACCAAACGACTCCATTCAATCCAACGAGCCATGGTAGCTAGTTAGGGGGAAGCAACTCCTGGGTGAAGCTCCCTTAGTTAGAATTTTCCTTTATTTACTTTTCTTTGCTTTTTTAGTTTGTAGTTCCATTAGTTCTAAACCCAAAAGTTGTTTGCTAGATAACAACCTTAGCGATTGAAGTAGGGGTACATGGATCGGTCCAGGTTGATAATTAAAACTTACTTGCCCTATGCTGCACCCCCCTAGAGTTTAAAAACTTGGGCTCTAAAGGGGATTTCTAGTGTGGTGTTTTGTGTGAGTTAGCAAGAAACTAAATTGGGTTCCAATCTTCTCATATCATTAAACGAATGAACTAGTACATATTTATAGACATGTAAGCCTTTACATTTTCTTATCTTGAACATGACTCCTATTCTTATAAAGAAGCTACTAACAATAAGACAAATCCTACTTAAACACGAAAACTACTAATAAAGTCAATAATAATAAAAGACTACTAATACTAAAACATTAAGAATAAATACACCCAGACAATTAGCCCAATTGCTATGATGTACAGTTCTCGTAACAGGCAGCAGTTAGCCAGTTACCATTGGATAGAACAAAATCCAAACTCTGCCGGGGTCTAGGTCTAGGGTGAGAAAATCGCCAACAAACATACTGCGTTTTTTGGACTTGGGGGCCAAAAGCTATAACCCTCCGCACCTTGGTGAATTTTGCGTGCCCACCCATACACCTAATTCGGGAACCTCACTTGATTGATCTTTCTCCACCGTGTTTCATTCTCATGACAAAATGCCACAACACACCTGATTTTTTTATTAACTAAATATATATTGTTCTCATGATATCTATTAACATAATTTAAAACTTGCCAAATTACACGATTGGACTCGAATTACATAAATTTTTCATTTTTACCACCCGAATTACTATTCTTTCTTATTAGCCACTACTTTTATGAATTGTTTCACCACTAGTCACCGACCGTTAGTCTCCGCCAGACTCCATTAACGCCGTCAGATATTTGATGATGTGGCAAACGAGAGTGCCGATTGGGATAAAAAAGGTTGAGATGGAGTTTTTAATTAAAAACAAAAATTAAACAAAAAAGAAAATAAAACTCATCGCATTTTGGTGTTGCCACAGCCGATTCAGAATAGGGTGTTCCCCAACCTTTCGCTCCGCCACCGTCCCCGAGATGAGGTTGTTTCTTTACCCCAAATCAACGACTGAAGAAGAAGGTGAAGAAGAAACAACTTCGTCCTCCATGGACTCCTCGTCGGAAGATGATGGTTAACCTCTTATATCATAAATAAATCTTCGCCATCCGCCAATAATTCTTGGCCTACAATCAACATTACCAAGAACTAAATTACTCCGATCCACTAATATTGACATTAGGGGGTGTGATACGCTCATTTCCCCTAAGGGTTGTGAGATTTACAACCAAGGGCATTTTGGATATGATAAAGAAATTAATTAATTAATTAATTTTTTATATTAATTACAATTGGGAATTAAAAACTAATGTTAAATACATGCTTTTTTAAAAATTTAAATCGTACAATAAATGCATTTCTCTCTTCTTTTTCCAGCAGCCACTCCACTTCAACCGGCCAACTTTCAGCCCAACAAACTTTCCAGCGAAATCCTTTTAATCAAAATCGCTTCGGCCACCTGCAAAAAATTACCACTCTGTCAGTAAGCTAGTTGTACGCTACACTACCACTGGTACCACTACTATTACAACGCTATCACTACCATCTGATAGCTGGTAGCGGTAGCGTACAACTATCATTTGGTACCACTACTAATCTACCATCTGGTACATGGTAGTGGTACACTACCAGTACTCATTGGTAGCGCTACCACTTGCACGGGTAGCGTACCACTAGCCCTGGTAGCGTATCACTAGAGACTAAGGCAAAAAAAAAAGATCAGGAATCTAAAAAAACTCATATCTGAAGAAAAAAAAAAGGGTAGAGGCGCTCACCTCGCGGCGGCGGCGGAGTGAAGACAGGAGGTGGTGGGAGGCGGAGGAAGAAGGGAAGGGGGAGACAGAGGCAACATTGGTGATGTTGGTGGGAGGCGGTGGCAACGGCAGATGGCGGAAGGGCTATGACAGGGAATGTTTGTGATAGTGGTAGCACCGACGATAGCGGCGGATGGGATGAAGAAGAAGGAAGAATTAGTGGTGGCAGAGAGAGGGTGGATCTGATTAGGGTTTTTAGGGAAACGGAAAGGATATGAAAATTAATAGTGGTAGTAATCCTATGTGGTTAGTTTTTTCCATTCTAAAAATACCCTTTGTGTAATCTTAACCATTGATTTAAAAAAAGAAGAAGAAAGAGACAGGAGAGAGAATGTATCCAATGGCTACAAAGTGGGTTGTGACGGTATCTTAGGGGGTTGTGATAGTTTATCACCCCCTTGACATAGAGTAAAAAGAAAAAAGTTAGTCAAGTGTTGAGGGTTGCAAGCAATGATTTGATATTTCTGCTAAAAGATTGAGTGGACCAACAAAAACTTGTAAACTCCTATTTTTTATACAATAGTTTGTCTTAAATACCTTTATCATATGCTAAAAATTTATCATACGCCAAGGTCATCGTTGATAAGAATAACCAAGAAGACTCCTGGGATAGTCGGGGTGGAGTTATCCTCGAGGAGGATCTGCGATTTTTCAGATGTCATGTGGGGCTTAGTGTGCGATTTGTAGGTCGACGAGTAATAGAATAGCCCAATTAGTGGCTCGAAAGGCCCTTTCATTGTACCCAAGTACATGTCTTATTTTTATTTCAGGCCTGGCACAGTTCCAGATGTACTGATTATCTTTTGTAAAAAAAAAACGCTAAAAATTTATGGGCTAATTCCACTTGGATGCCCAAACTATTAAAAAGTGTCATTTGTGTCTAAACTATTCAATATGACAAATCTGGCACGAACTATTTTTTCATTAATGTTGACCGGCGTTGACCATTAGTATTTAACAAGAAATCTAGTCAACTTCTATGTGGTGTTGGCCAGATTTGTCATAATTTAATAGTTTATGACATAAATGACACGAAACGCATATAGTTTGTGCCAGATTTGTAATATTAAATAGTTTAGTACACAAATGACATGTTTTTGGATAGTTTGGCCTATCTAGTGGAATTAGCCCAAAATTTATTAACGTCTTCATAGAGTTAAAGTTAGTATAAAAGTTAACGAAATCATACCTAGATCTAGATTACTTACCACCTCAACACATTAATTGAAGGGTAATGTCTTATCCAAACCTTTTTCAGATTATTTTATATTATCCAAACCTATTAAAATGTTATTAATTAGCCAAATCTTTCGTAATGCATCAAAATATTAGACATTTTACGTTATCGTTAATAATTTTGTAACTCTTTACTTAATTAAAATACTAAAATTTTGTTGCTAATTGAAAGTTAACATTTGGCTAATTCTTGACTCAAGATAGGGTGCATAACCTTAGGGTGCATAACTATGAGTAACCAAATTTGGACCCTTCTTTTATGTGGCTGCAGATCTAGGGGTTCTAAATTAAAGACATTTTCCCCCTATTTTTCTTGATCGGATAATATTTTCTTCATTCGGATTTTTTTTTTGCACAGATGGAACGAGTTCGCTGTACTCTACAAAATGATCTATTGAATTTCAAAAAACTTTGGGTGACAAAATTCCATACCTCTCGTTACCAACTTCATACCATACTATACCACCCTCGCATGAGGTGGTATTTTTCATACCATATGATATGCTCTTATTTAATACCAATCAATACCATATGGTATAGATTGATAGTAGCTAGCTCAAATTTTTTTGTTCCAAAAAATATCACAGTGGATATTATTTTGAAGAGCACAATTAATCTGATCTAACTGTGCAAAAAAAAATTAATTCCAACTTAAAATGAGTGAGACGTCCGTTAAAGATTAATGGAGGGAAAATTAAAGGATTTTCCAGGTAAAAGTTTGACTAATAAATAGTAATTACCCTTAATTAAAATACCATTTGTTTAGTTTAGAAGGTTTCTCATTAGATTTAACAATAAATGACAACTAAATTGTATTTCAAAATGTTTGGCTATTATTTTGCACAAAATAAAAAAATTTATTTTAAATTCTTTTAGTTTTGCACGAGTTGAAATGTCAAACTCAACATTCATGTATTCATCACATTCGTATCATTTATCACATTAGAGTAAACTAAAGTTTGATTGGATGGAAAGTTAACAATCTCTTATATTATATACTTTTTGAAAGGTTTGATTAAAATGTTTCTTTAAGAGTAAATACAATTTATTATCCAAACCTTTCAAGTTATTAGTCAAACCTTTCGAAATACAAAGAAGAGTTATATTATATATATGCCCATATATTATACAGTTTCATCAAACATGCTCATCTACTATTTTCTACATCAAACATACCCTTGTACATCATAAAAAGTATCAATCATATTTTTCTGTTAAAATTTTCGTAAAAAATTGTCAACCATTGTCGAACCATGGTTTAGTGGACACAAGTATCTAAAATACCACAATATTTTCACTTAAATATTATTTGTTTCTTTTCTATAGCTCAATATTCCTAAAAATATCACTTTAATGAAATTTAAAGAAGTAAATGGAGGGGCAAACTTACATTTTCCTTCCCATTTTACCGAGGTTAGGTCGTCTGAACCACAATTTGATCATGGGTGATGATTTTTGAATAAAAATTTGAACAGAAGGGCAAGTTTAATAATCTTTCTAAAATATAGGGATATGTTTGATTTAAAAAATAGCACAGAGTCATGTTTCATTAAACTCCATAGTATAAGGAGATATTATTACAATAATCGTAAAAAGTATTAGCCATATATTTGTAACGCATCAAAGTGTTTGTCATTTGTATGTTATCGTTAATAACTTTGTAACTCTTTTCTTTAAACTCAACATCATGTTGCCAAGTCATCACTACTTACAAAAATTCTAGCGGAAAGTTAATGTTTGACTAATACTTTAAGGTATGCCTATGGTTAGTTACAAGTCATCGTAACTTGGAGAAAATGGTCTACCTCTTCTAGTAAGCAGTTAACCACTTTCCAAGAAAACGGTCTACCGCTTTCATCAAATGGTCGACCTGATGACACTTACTTTCAACTGAAACCTGTTTGTTGAAAATGGTAGATTGCTTCCACTAAACGGTCTACCGATTCCGACAAATAATCTACTACTTCCGGCGAATGGTTAACCAGATGATATAGTTACCTTCTACTTACACTAGGAAAATAATGGACAATAGGAAGCGTACAATGCATAATCGTTTTGTAGTAATGGAACATCATATCACTCGTGCGCAACCAAATCTCTATGCATATTATAGACCTAGACAAAAAGAATTAACACCCTACTTTAACACTTATGGAATAAAACCCGATAAAAGAAGATGATATGAGATTTATGGATGTTGAAGATGAAATTAATGTAGAACAATTATACTCTACCTATTAAGTATCTTCATAACAACAATAGCAACAAAGTTTATCTATTACAAGATAGCTATAGAATAAAAAAGCAAACTTAGAGTTTGAAGGAAAGATAAAAATCTCTATAGAATAAGTAAAAATCTAAGAAATAAATGTACATAACATATTTCAAATATACGGGAGAACAATCACTCGAAAAACTTCTCATTTATGCTCCAGTCTCTATACTAATTGTAACTCTATTACCAAGATATTTATTAGCATTTGACTCCTCTAATTGTAGATGATGATGTGATTAACAATGGGTCATCAGATTGACTGGTTGTTGGAAGCGATGAACCGCTTGGTGAAACCGATAGTTCGTTTTCTTAGAAAGTGGTTGACCACTTAGTAGAAAATGTAGACCATTTTCTTGAAAAGTGGTAGACCGCTTAGTGGAAGAAGTAAACCGTTTTCTTGAATAGTGGTCGAACACTTAGGGGTCGTTTGGAGAACAGGATTTGGATGATGGATTTATTGAATCCATAGATTTGGCAAAATGTTATGTTTTTTTGCTATTTTTGTATCGTGGATTGTAGGTTTAGAGATTTTAAATCTCTAAAATCTAGAGATATCAAATCTCTCATAATTAGAGAGATTCTACATCTTGATTTTAGAGATTTTTTTTCTTACTCTATCTCATCCTTTTTTTAATTTATCCCACTAAATATCCTTATTGATAAATTTTTCAATATTTTTTTAGCCAATTTAATTATTTTGGTTAAGAAAAAACATGTCATTTTATAAACAAATATAATTTCTTTTTTTATTGTATGTTAACAATTGCAATTATCAAACAATGAACATTTCTAAATCTTTTTTCAACAATCTTGAGAGTTCAAATCTTTGAATTGTTTAGAATCTAGAGATTTAGACTCTAATTCTCTAAACGAGCCCTTAGTGGAAAGAGGTGGATTGTTTTCTTGAAAAATGTTCGACCACTTAGTGGTAGTCCAAACATTTTATATTTAGAAAGATTTGAAATAACTTTAAATTTTTTGTATAATTAATTGCATTTACTCTTGTTTTATTCCTGTCCTAAAAGAGAACTAGAAAAAGATAAGGTGACTGATCCAGCCCGGGAATAGATCCAATAGAAGTGGGTCGGGACTCGAGAACGAACGGAGAGGATAAAATAAATCGGCACCACCATTCTGCTGTCTCTCGCCTTCGCATGGCGATTCTGCAAATCCGGTCGGGTTTACCCACTCCAACGTTCCGTCTGTCCGGGCCACGCGCCGCCTTCAAGCCGCCACTGCTCCTCCACCTTCCTGCACAGCATCCGTCACTTCTGTTGGCTGGCGGTGGACGTCGGAAGAAGACGGAGAGAGGGTGGACGGTGGTGAGGCGCGCAGGGCCGAGCACCAGCAGTTACATTTTCGCTCTAGCGTTACCCCTCAGTCTTCTGGTCTTCACCGTCTTCACTTCCATCCGAATTGCGGATAAGCTGGACAGCGACTACTTGGAGGAGGTAAACGATCGAGTGAAATTTGCCATCTGAGATTTCTTTCGTTCGTTCGTTCGTTCGTTCGAGCTAATTGAGGTTTCCGGGTGGGTGGTGTTATCTGGGCAGCTCGAACTCAATCAGGCCATCATGGAAGCACAAGGCATTGAATACGAAGCAGATAATGAAGATGAAGATGTTGATGGGGCTGACATTGCTCCAGGGCAGGAGGAATTGCAGCTGCCTGTCCCTGCCTTTGGTGGCAGCAGTCGAACTCGCACTCGCAACCGGCCAAAACGCGAGGTCTGAGCTGAGTTGTGGCGGCCATTTTGAGATTGAGCTGTCTCTCTGTATGAGTTTGATCTTTATTTTAAAATCACAGCAACGCATTTGAACAACCGCTACTAGCAGCACATTTATTGTAATAAATGTAGTTCGGCTGCTGTTACAGTTGTAGAACAACCCATCCTTCTATATATTACAGGTAGCTATAATGTATACATTGCTAGAAGCTGTAAGACCTCCTGACAAACTGTTACACACCCCAATTTGTTGGTGTCGGACAGCTTCTTGCTCCTCGGGCAACAGCTTGCCATGTTACTGCAGAAATTAGAGGGCAGCTCTGTCAGTCGTTTGAAAGGAAGCCGGATTGCTATCATTGAACAATAATCAGTTGCTATCATGTAACCGATAACACAGTTGATCGACCGAAAATTGCTTTTAATAGTTGTCTGGTTCATATCAGTCCTGCCAAAGGATGCAGATTTCATGCTAACAGGACAAACACTGTGATAAAACAGGGTCTATCATATTTGATATTTGGGAATTGAATTAGGGTTTATACGAACAGAATTAGGGATTGAGATTGGAATTAAGAGAGGAAGAACAGAATAAAGAATCGGCCGAAGCCTTGGACTAGGCGAGAAGAGAAATTAGGGAATAGAGAGAGCTTAGGGTTTGGGAAGATAATTCTTTAACTGATTTCTGCTTAATTGAACAAAAAACCCAAAATACATATTTATAGCTAAAGACTGGATAAACCTAATAGACTATCCTATTACGACTCGATGACTACTAACATATATAATAATATCCTAATAAATAGTAATTATGATAATTATGATAGATACCAAAAATTGGGTTTCTATCACACTGACAACAGGCATTATGCAATGCATCACTGAAGTCCATGGAGTTGATACAATCCATCACTTTTCAAATCAAACATCCAAATGATCCCTAATTAAGAAACAAGGACAAATTTTTAACTACTTACATTGCACAATATCGTAGAGGTAATTGACGAAGGGATCACAGCTGTTGACAAATCACACAGATGCTAGCAAGATCGTTACAATGTGCCAGAGCAGTAACGATGGGGTGTTAGCATTCTTCAAGATCTTACATATGTACATCAATAAGATCAATATCCTGTTTCACATACATAGCCGACATTCAAGAATGTATAGTCAATCCAACTACACATTCAACAGTCATTTGTCTAGATTATATATGCGTCAGACCAGTCCAATGAAGGAAGGACAAGATCCACCTGCCTGCTCAACTAGATAGAAGCGTACTCCCTTTTGCCTTCAGCTTGGACTCCAAACCGAAAAACTTCAAACCCGACAGCACCAAGTCTGCTGCCTTCTTTTTCATATGATCAATTAGAATTTCATCATAGACAATTACTTTCGCTTCTGTTAGAATCCTGCGCTCTCGTAAGCTTGTAAACACCTTTCTTGCCTCTTCCAATGTACCATGCTTGCACATACCAGAGATAATTGCTGAGCATATAACTTCATTGGGAGGGCAACCCTCCTCCATTATTTCATTTACGACTTCAATCACTCTTCCTGCTTTGCCAGATGATCTACATGCGTGAAGAATCACGAGACTGTACTTAAAGTCCATGGGTCCATTACTGACATTCCCAAGACAATCACGAACTAACATCATAGCTGCATCAATCTCTCCAATGCTACATAGCCCTTTAGCTAGAGAACTATATGCAGTAACAGTAGGTACAGAAGACATCTCAATTATTTTATTGTGACAGTCACAGGCTTCCTGGATCTTGTCATCTTCGACCAAACACGAAATTGCAATGCTGTAACAGTTTGAATCCGGTTCAAAGTTCATATCCTCCAGTTCACCAAATAGAGATAATGCCTGCTTTATCTCCCCAACCTTCAGAAGGGCCTCCATAAGGACATTGTAGATTTGAACACTAATATATCCTCTAGCCTTTAGATCCTGGAAAACTTCCAAGGTCAACATTGTTCTTTCTTCTTTCTCAACCATAAACGAGAAGAATTTGGATAGATCATCGAGAACCGGAAATGATAGTCTCTCCATAAGGAACAGAAGCTTGTAAAAATCATCCATCTTTTTCATCAACGCAAAGGCAACCAGCATGGGATTCACTGTTCTGAAATCCGGTTCAAGATCCTCCTGTACTGTGACCTGGAATAGCTTAAAAGCCTTATCCACCCGTTTTACATCACATAGACCTACGATAAGCGAGTTATAGATTCCCAAATCAGCCCTATACCCCGAGTCAACCAAATCCTTCAACAGATCACAAGCTGCACCAACCTTACCATCCGCCACAAATGAATCAATCAAAACACCATAAATTCCTCGGTCAATCAAAAAGCCCTTCTCCTTCATCTCTTTAAACAATTCATACCCCTTGTGCACCATCCCTCCTTTAGACAAACCAGTCACCACCGTTGCATAGGCCATAACATCAGGTTCCACACCATCAGCCTTCATATCATCCCAAACCTGCAAACATCCTTCCAAATTCCCTTCCCCAATCAATACTCTAACCATTGCAGTATAGGCAAATACATCTGGTTTGCACAAATCGTTCCTCATTCTGCTCAAGACCTCTTTCATCTCGACTATTCTTCCAGCCTTGCAGAGACCCTTAATCAGAATCATGTAAGTTACACTCTCCTCAACCAGCCCATCACTCCTGAAATCCTCGTAAACTGACAAGGCCAAATCAAAATGACCAGTTTTCATCAATGCCTCCAATATCCTGTTATACAAGAAAACACGAGGTTTCACCCCAAATTTCTTCATCTTTTGATATACATAGTGTACCCTAAGTCCCCTATTGGCATCCGAATGCATTCTAATCAAAATCTCGAACTGCTTCTCGCTCGGCTGTTTCCCTTGCGATTGCATCAACTCGGGGAGCTGATCCGCAGCGCGAAAAAAGCTAGTTCGATTCAAGCAATAAGCAAAAGCATTATAGGAAGCGAAATTGTGCTGGTAGCCCTTTTGCTTACCAGCCCAGTGGAAGAATTTCGTCGCCGAATGAGGGTTACTCTCGATCTTCAAAACCTCCGCCACAAGATCCGGCGTGAGACGACGGAGCTTGCAGAGCTCAGCTACCACTGGAGGACCCCAGTGGTTGCCATTCTTCCGGAAGGCGTCGAGTACAAAGCGGGCGATTGGAGAAAGGCGCTGGGAAATTGCCAGTGAGTGGCCCTGCGATGGAGGAGTCCTGGCCGACAGTGATGGGTCTTGAGGGTCCCATTTTCTGAGATCAAATGGGTAGGAAGGGGGAAAGGGGTTTTGGGGAGGTTTTGTAGGGGAAGTGGGAAGTCTCAAAGCTTTGCGGTTGGTAAAGACGCCGCCTCGGACTACAGGGCGGTTCTGAGAGGGCTTCCGGTGGCCGTAATAGAAGTAGAAATTCTGAGGGGCTGACAGTGGCGGGGATTTCGGTGGCATTTCGCCCGTCTCGCCGGCGTTGTTGTCTGCAAAAGCACAAAGCTTCCAGTTGTATACTCCTTCTAAATAGGTCTAATGCTAATTGTTAAAGAAGCCATTGAAAAAATAAAAGCTCGGAGGATATCGACGGTTCTACTAGAATTTTTTTCTATCGGAGGCTAATAGACGGTATTTAGCGGTATGATGAGGTTGAATCACTATTTTAAGTTTTTAACATAAAATATCCTACTGCTGACTTTGCATGTATAATCTCCGAGAGGGTATTTCACTCCTTAAATAAGGATAGCAAAACTAGGCAAAGTATTAAATAAAATGGAAGCATCTTTATGATGTGACATGAAGTCAATTATTTAACCTTGCCATATAGATATTCCACCATTCTACTAAAACAATTTTTTTATATTTGAAAATATAAATTAAATTAAGAAAACAAAATTGATCCAATATATATTTGTTTGTTGGGACAGTTCATCTTCATCCATCATCCATCATCCCTGCACCCAGTCGATCGATCGGACATCTCAGAGAATCTGGATTTTTCATGGGCGATTGAGGAGTACGGCGAGACTCGAAGACGAGGAGTGGACAACTACGATGAGACTGTGATTCCTCTATTTCCTCGACGATCTGGAGTTCGGATGTCCGGTGTTCGGTTTGCAATTGCTAGGTTTTGGTGTCTGAACGAAGAAGAAGATTATTGGGTTCTCCTCCGCCAAGAAGCCAACTCACTGCCACAAGCCCTGTCCATCCTCCATTGGTGATCTTCTACTACCTATTCCCCTATGTAATCTCAACTAGTTTTGCTTCAATTGAATTCCTCGGACAGGAAGGTAGAAGGAGATTGGAGAAAAACTTTCTCTTTCGAGAGGATTGTCTGTTGGTGCTGGGACGATGAGAGTTGATGATTTTTCAATTTTGTGGTTGTTGATGCTAACTAGGGTTGAAGGATTGCGCGAGGGAGCATGGATTGCGATGGAGGATTGAGAGCTTACAACTTGGGCTTGGAGGATAGGGTTCTTTGATTTTAATTATATTTTTTTCCAAAAAAATGGATTATTATGTAAATTATTAATATTCATGTGGAATGTTAAAAGTTTAATTTCTTGTCCCGTCATCATAAATTTTCCACCTCATTAAGATTTTGCCACGTTAGAGTCAGCTAACGGTACTAACAGTTGACCGAACGGAAAGTTAACGGTTTGGTTATTAAATTGTTTTCAAAAAGGTTTGACTATTATATTGTATTTACCTTTTCTAATTAATATATAATTTTGTTTAAATTCAATTACTAAAAGAATTTGAATGTACGAAAATGAGTTAATTGTAATCTACAAAATAATATACATTTTTATATCTTTCGGGAAAATGTTTTTGGATCAACAACTATCACTTGTTACCACACTAGTACCACTTTGTACCACCTTCATTTTTAACTCAAAATTAGAAAATTTTCATAGAAGGAATGGGTTTATCGCGATTAACGAATTTAAAGAAAACATTTATTTGCGAAATGTACCACCTTGATATAAAGTGGTAACTATAGAGTGGTAAATGATGGTGAAAGATTCTGGATAATGGTTAGTATATTCCTACTATTATATATACAAACATTCTACACTATTTTACATTCTACCACTGTGGTACACTTTCTTACAACCATGGTTTAATCTTATGTACTATCAAGCATTACTACCATGATATAGATTGGTAATATATGTTACAAGATTTTTGTTCAAGAATATATCAAAGTAGATGTCATTTTGAAGAACACAGTTAATCTGAATTTTTGTGAATTTTTTTGAATTCCAAATCAAAATGAAAGAGATATAACTGTTGAACTTAATGGGAAATTTTTGTATGTTGTCTACTAACGAGATCCACTCATTGGAAAAATAAAACCCTCAGCACAGATATGTACTGTACAAAACTCGGATGATTTACCTTACATATAGCCCGAGTTTTATTGTTCTATCCTGGCGTGAGGTTTGGTGTGAGTTGGCGTTTGGTGAGGTCCCATGGAGAATAAAATGAACTTGGATTGTTTGGTTGTGATAGAGGTGATTATTTACTCTCTCATTTCTTGGATTTTGGTTCTTTCGATATTCTTCATCGCCTTGCTACAAGTTGGCTAGGTTTACCCAAGTTTCCTTTTGCCTCTTCGATTTCCAAGCGGTTGTTTGGAGGGAATGCTGGGATCAAAGAATGCTAATTGCCCATGAAAGAAATGATGATATTTTGCTTAGCATAACTATTGATTGGAAGGGGGTGAGATTACTCATGGAAGCAGTGAGGGCCTTAATGAGCCTGGCTGCTGAGGTGAGCCTACAATTTCCTTGGTGTAAGCAAGATCAGGTTTTCATCTTTGTGCTTAGCTAAGTTTTTCCTTTGTCTTTTGTTATATTTCTTTACATCTCCCTATGAGAAAACACATTCTCAACTTTCTCCTAAAAGGGAATCAATCACTCGAACTAGGACAGGAGATTGGCATAATCAAACATCAAGTAATCATAATTCATAACAAGTAATTAGGGGTAATTCATTCCAATTCCATCCATAATCAATCAAATGTTTGAGCTAGGGTTTTACTTACCCAGGTACAACGTTTAAGGGGGTTTAGCCCAGATCGCATCATACCAAACTGATGTTTGGACCGAACCACAACAAACCAAATATAATGTGAGTCGGTCCTTGGTACATGAATTTTATACTAAGTAAGAATGTCCTGAATTGACATTTGGAACAAACCAAAATGCATTATTGGTCTGGTCCTTGGTTCTATGATGTCTTTCATTATTGGAACCACGTTTCTCATGAGTTTAATTCCGTATGAACTGCTCCGTTGCACAACCCTAACATACAATAATAAACTTTGGCCAAATCCCGTGAACTTTATGAAGCCAACACAAATCACGACTATGAACTCCAAAATCATGATTTGGCCCTTCATGATCGCGATGCCTTTTGACTTGTCGTTGCTTGCCTTCACGGCCAAAGAATATGGTTCACGAAAGTGAACATCGACCAAGAACTTTGCCACAGTTTGACCTTGAGTCTTCTTTTCACCTCCCAAACGACTTTTGATTGGCATGAAACTTGGTACACACGTTACTCATCATGTTAGGATTTGAGATTATGAAGGTAAATGCAACATTGTATAGAATTTTGTAGGAATGAGCAAGCTACGAGCCAACCGGACAAAAACCGATGAACATCGTGTTCTCTTATGATATTCACATTTAATAATCTATAACATGAAATCAACCCAAAATGAAATATATGATTATTATGGCATTCAAACGCCTAAGAAATGGGGTCTAAAATATGAATAAAATGTGTGTTATCAAGCACCTCATTCAGATTGGTTTCATAACTGTAGCTAGACATGGCGATGGTGAGAAGATGAAAAGCCAGAGAAGAAGACGAGTAAGGGAGTGAAGAGCTTAGGTCTCAAAGGTATGGTTAAATAGACAAGAATGAGTGTCTTAGGGTAAGTGAATCACAGAGAATCCACATTGAAATATCTTGGTTGCCATAATAACTTGGAATATTTTGATAATTGCTCGTAGGTGTATTTAGTAATGTGTAGGACTTAGGAGTAATATTCTTTTCATGTCCTTTGGGTAATATTTTTGTGCTTTCAGGTCAAAATATCTTAGTGGACACCTTGTACGAGCTAGAGACATAAATGTCCAACTGTCGGAATTTAGAAATGGAACTGGAATCCAAGACTATAAAATGGGCCCCTATTTAGCCTTCTATAGCCCAAATGGCACCTCGGCCGCCTTTTTACAGAGGACCTAAATCAACCCTGATTTCCCTCTTTTGAGGCTAAGTTGGAAATATGTTAGAAAATCTGCCAGAAGACTTTCCATCCTACTAAATATTTTAGAAAACATGAAGGAAGATGCTATAAATAGACCCTATAGGACAACATTCTAGATTAAGGTTTTAGAAGGGGTTACTTTGGCGATAGAGCACCCCCACCAATTCTAGAAGCGATGAGCAGGGTCGAGGGTAGAATGGTGGCTACAATAGCGCATTAGGCTCCATTTTCCCCATTAGACTGCCATTTTTAGTCTCTTAGATATCTTGTCATTTTGACTGATGTACTCCTTAGATTTTGTCCTTATGAGTGGTTAGTTCGTTAGTTGTATAGGTTGGTGAACTCTAGAGGTACCTTAGATGATGTAAAGCATGATTCTTTATATATTATAATTGTTTGAATCTATCATACTATGTTTATTTCACTTGGAATATCATTGGATATGTGTTCATATTGGGTGGATTGTAACAAGGAATCCTTTATGATTGAGTGCACATTGAATGTAATACACGTCCGATATCAAACTTTACTTTGTGACGTAGCAATTGAATCTATGGCTGACCACGCGTGTTTCCCTGATTCACTTCCTGAAGAGAAACCAATGGCAAAATGATAGAATATAAAAACATAGTTAGTGGAGAAATTCATATAGATGCCCTCAACCACGTATGCATGTGTCCTTTATCGTATCAGAGCGAGTCTAAGGAAACTCTAGGGAAGCTTGTTTATAGGTGTCAAAACATAGCCCGACCCGATTAACCCGCCCGATCGACCCGACCCGCAACCCGAATTGACTAAAAGTCAACAACCCGTAACCCGCCCGACCCACAACCCGATTGACCCGCAACCCAACTAACCCGCAATCCGACTAACCCGCAACCCGATTAACCCGAACCCGATTGACCCGCAACCCGACTAACCCGAATCCGATTGACCCGAACCCGACTAACCCGTAACCCGACCGACTCAACCCGAATTTCATCTAATCCACTTGAATAATTATAAAAATATACAATACATAGTTTTTCAAAATAAAGTTTTTCATTCCGTATAAGAAATTTTAAAAATATGAAACTCACTTGATATTACGTATTTTAAGAAAATTACAAAAATTAAAACATGAAGGTCACTTGAGATCATGACAATATTAATATAATATATAAATTAAAATTTTGGTTAATTTAACTATTCAATAAAATTATCAATTAAATATAAATAAAGTAATGTATTTGGTAATTTGATGTTTTTAAAAGAAGAGGGAAATTTTGGTGTATTCAAGTTTTTGGGAAGAGAAAGAAGAGAGAAATTTGGTTCTTTGAATTTTTTAGAAAAGAAACAAGTGGGAATGTTGGTGGTTTTGATATGTGGGAAGAGAAAGAAGTGGGAAAGTTTGATTCTTTTGATTATGAAAGAGAAATAAGGAGGGAAACTTTTGACTTTTCAACTTTTTATAGAAGGAAAGAAGAGGGTAATTTGCAATGTTGTCATAACAGAACCGGAGCATGACCCGGTAATGCGAATGGCTCGCACTTTAGCCGTCCAACCAGCATTAGACCGTTTAAAAACCGTTAGAGAACCGATATCTAATAAACGTTATCAGTATACATAGTGGACATTTCTTAATCAGAGCTCATCTCTTTCCTTCGAAATTGTGAAATGGAAATAAGGATTCAATTTGAGAGCCCGACGTTTTTGGTTTATTTCAATTTTCTACAATTTTTTAATTAAATTTAGTGGCTGAATGGAAAAAACCGGACGAGCGGCTCGATCGACTCGAACGGTTAACCGCCTCGGCCGCTCGCTAACCGCTACATAAAACCGGAGTGACTTTTAGACTGTTCCGAGCCGGTTTTGTGACCGGGTGGCGGTTTTACCGGTCGGGCCGAGCGGCTCGGCTTTAATAACACTGGTAATTTGGTTCTTTCAATTTTATGGAAGAAAAAGAGGAGGGAAAATTGAGTTTTTCTAATGTATGGAAGGAGAAAGAAGGAGGGAAATTTTAGTATTTTTGTGAAAAGAAAGAAGGAGACAAATTTGGTGTTTTCAATTTTTTGGTTTTTCATAATTTTAGCTTTTGAAATATCAATCTTTAACTTTTATATGGAGGGCATGACTAGTTAAAATTATTCTTATATGCTTTGAAGGATAATATGTATATATGTATGTAATTTTTTATGGGCTAATAAATAAATTAACCATTAGTTACAACAATTTATACTAAACTTGATAAGGAATCTTTGACGGTTCGTTGTTTAGGATATAAAGTATATGGTTAGGGTATAAGGTATAAGGTACATATGGTTTAGGGTGTATATGGTTAGGGTATAAGATATTGATGGTTTAGATGGTTCTAAGTTTTTTATTAACATATGTTCACTTGAAGTCGGTTGAAGTCATTTGAAGTCTTTAACGGCAGGAGATCCCTTTTTAATTTATGTTTATGGTATGTGGTTAGGGTACAAGGTATGTGGTGTAAAGTATAGGATATATGGTTAGGGTATAACAATTAGCAAATATCACTTTTTATCTATATTTTGAAAATCAAAGTATGAATTTCACTTTTAAATTAACTATACTAGCAAAATCACAACTCAAGGACATATGATTAGGGTATAGATTATGTGGTTAGTGTATAATGTATTGATGGTTTAGGGTATACAATCAACAATATATACTAACTTAATATTGTTGATTGAGGGTAAAGCTAAGTGTATAGGATATATGTTATTGAGTAAGTTATGATTGAAGTCACAATAATTTTACTAAATTTGATAGCTAATCTTTAATGGTTCAATTTTTAGGATAATTCGAACAATTTTACAAATAACTCGTTTGGCAACAGTTTACTAAAGTTATTTGGGCAATTTATCACTATGCTTTTGCCGAATACTACACGCCAAATACCAGATTTGCATGGTTATACTAAACGAGATACTTTAATCCAATTACTACTGAATTAATACTAAAATATCAAATAAATAATTAACGGTGTCTTTTGGTTGCAAATATCGATATCACCATTACTATTAGCTATAATACTTTACCAATTATGATTAATTACATAACAAGTTTGCAAGTCATACAAATTGATTTAACATTTTGACTAGTTTTTTTCAAAAAAATAAGGGTAAATGCAATTTAATATCCAAACCTTTCATTTTAAACAATATAATAGCCAAACCTTTTAGAAAACAATCTAATATCCAAATCGTTAAATTTCCGTTCGTTTGACCGTTAGGTGACACTTCAAAAAAGTTCGAAGTACGATGCTTCATCAATATCCATCGATATCTTCTCTGCAAAACCACCAACATATCGTGGTTCCAAACCCGAGAAGTTCCTGACTCCACCATGATGGTATAGAATATCTAAATATTCAGTCATCTACAATGCCAAAACAAGAAAACAAAGTTGTATTGTGACAATTTCCCCTAAACAAAGCTTTTTTGAAGTGTCAACCAATGGTCAAATGGACGGAAAGTTGACGATTTGGATATTAGATTGTTTTCGAAAAGGTTTGGCTATTATATTGTTTAAAATGAAAGGTTTGGATATTAAATTGTATTCACCCAAAAGATAAAGTATATATATACGAGGTAGAAATAAATTGGTTAAAAAGTTGAGAAAATATTTTAAATTAGTGTAATAAAATGTGTAAGTTGGTAATGAGTAATGAGTTAAGTTACTTGATGCGCTGGCCCGAACAACCCGAAACCCGACCCGCCTGCAACCCGCCCGACCCAAAACCCGATGAACCCGCAACCCGATTTGCGCGCAATCCGATTGAATCCGAACCCGATGAACCCGCAACCCGACTAACCCGCAACCCGTTTGAACCCGAACCCGATGAACCCGCAACCCGACTAACTCGCAACCCGCTTGAACCCGAACCCGATTGAACCTAGCCCGAACCCGCCCGATTGACACCTATAAGCTTGTTTATGCAACGCCTTTTCATTATGTTTTCCCTCCCCCATTGTTCGTTGGAGCGTACGTGATGGGCGGTTAACATTGTTCTTGACTTGGATTGGCTAGATAGTGGGGAAAGCCTTGCGGCCCATGTAACTAACGTAGACGATAATTTCCCAGAGCATGCGGTCGTGGCTGACATGGTTATGTCAGAGGGTGAGTGGAATTTACAATTGATAGAGAGATACTTACCTTAGGACTCAAATTACCATCAATCTCTTCCTCTTTTTGAATTATTATAAATGAGTGTTTTCGTTAATGTATCGATATTTGAAGGTGGCATTGTTGCTACCTATCACTACTATAAATGTTGATTGAGCATTTTCTGCAATAAATATGGTGAAGAATACACTTCGACTAAAGAAATTGTGAACTATTTTTTGGTTAGGCACATTGAAAGTGCCATTATTGATTGTTTGGATGATGAATGCATTTTAGATATTTTTTATAATATGAAAACACGCCGTGAACCATTGTAAAACATTAATAAAATTTATGTTTTTTAACATAGGACCTACATTAGCTAAATTCCTGGCTATGCCCCAGGTCAGGGATATACAGGTTCTTCGTTTTAGAAACGAATAATCGAGGTTGGGTGCTTTGGAGTTCCCCTTGATTTTTTACAGAGCACAAAATAAAAGAGATACAAACTAACAAAAGAAATACAATAACGATGGCTGAGGAAAAACTTTTTTTTTATGAAAATGGGTGCAAACACATTGCTACCTCTAATTCAATTATCGAGCGGACAGTAAAATCGCCAACAGATTGAAAAATAGCCCAATGGCATACATCAACGTCTGATATGTAAACCATATGAGTACCAAGGGACATGGAATGTCCCTATGGGCTAAACAGTCAGCCAAAAAGTTGGCTTCTCTATAAACATGTTGACCAGTCCTGGCGGAGCATAGCCTCGAAAGGCAAGGTAAGGTTGGCGTACTGGTGGTTGGTTTGTTTGGTGTCTAGGAGGAGAGCAACTACCATCTTGGAGTCTATCTCGAGCTTGATCTGTCGGTCCCCAGCATCCCATGCTAACTCGAGGCCCTTCAATGCCCCCAAATCTCTGCTCGGGGTGATGGAACATCTTCCCTGGTTCATCGAATAGGCCCTAACAAGCTACCCCGCCAGTCTCTAAGCGCTCATCCTACAGTGGTTGACTCAGGCGATTGTAGGAGCGATCCATCCGAGTTCACTACGATCTACCCTATCGTGGCTAGTCTCCACCCAACAGCTAGGTCTCGACGCGACCCCGACCTCCCAGTGATAAAGTGTGTTATGTTGTGCGATTTTGTTGAGCGACGACCTCCTAGGTGAGGATCCTTTGCGATAACTTGTTAGGGGATTCTATGATGTCTAGAAATATGATATTGATACCATTTCGAGCACGCCATAAAAACCAACAAGTGAAACCAATACAAACCTGGCTCTGAGGGCACGTGACCAGCTCTGTAAACCACTCATAGAAGCTACGGGAATCATCCGGGGAAGCGACTATAGGAAGTAGCTCTCTCCATACCTCCCTCACATAGGAGCACTTTCGAAGAATGTGGTCTAACGTCTCGTCTTCTGATCTGCAGCGCTGGCATCGGGACATGACAGTGATATGTCGACGAGCGCGCTCCATGTTCTTCAGCAGGCAGCCATGTGTGACTAGCCAAAGAAAATATCATACCCTGTGTGGCTTCAGACATCGCCATAAATTATTCGAGGAGGGGCTAGCCTCGCTGCCATCAACCTCCGCCACTAGCCGGTACGCCAACTTGAGGGTGACACCGCCTTACTACTTGAGAACCCAAACAAGCTCATCGGCGCCAAGTTTCGACTTCGGAACCGGCATCCCTGCCACCTGCATAACAACATCCTGGAAATTGGGGCTATGAATTACAAAGAGTTGTCATGATGATAGTTTGGGAACGAAAAAGTGTGTTATAAAATCTTTAACATTAAATCATATCACAATATAAGGCCAGACTAGTGTACTCGTGGAGTATACTATACTTCAGATACTTCTAGTGAGATATTTTTATCTAGATCATGAATTAAACTGAGTTTCGGGTATGATACTAGACCGATAAACCGTAAATACTAATAGATTAACCCCAGACTTCGATCTTCTAAACCCAAGCCCAAAGTTCAATTCAATAGAAACAATAATTGACCGTTGAGATTTGTTAGAGCTCATCAAAGCACATCTAAAGGTAATAAGATCAACAGGAATATGCTATACTTCTGGAGTATACCTGTCTTACCCACATTATAAATATGTCCACTGATATACATAAATTATGAAACGATGGGTAGCTTAGTAGTGGAACAACTTTTCTTACAGGGAGGTCCCATATTCTACCTTTCCTCCCTACAAACACGCATGCAATATATTTTTCATGTGTTCTAATTTTTCAGGTGGTGCTTAGGACCTCCCTAAAGTCCAAGTGGCTTCACCACTGTCCCTAAATGAATAGGGGAACGTGAAAGTCCTTGAGGAAATACAATCATGGTTACGACCAGGTAAACTTGACTCATGTTCTACAACATATCGAAATTTGGCGTTGTTGCCGTAGATTTTCACGATCCTTTCTGAAAGTGAGTAAATTAGGCGTTCTTTCTTTTCCTTTTCATTTTTTGTTTTGAGTTTTTTTGTAGCCTTTTTGTGTTAATTTTCTTTTCCATTCGTATCACGTCTAGGTTTGTTATTTTATTCTTATATATTTTTTTATCTTTTGTGGTTGTTGTTAGAGGTTAAGCTAAAACACAGGAGGTGCAAAATCGGTAGCCATGGCGCCAATTTTTTGGAAAAATTTGGCGGTCTTGGCCCCATTTTAAAAACACTCATCACTTAACTATTTATGTGATGTAACTTCTGTGTATGAGCCCAACACAAACGAGGGGCATAATCCATAAGATATCCATTTTATGGTTACATTTTATGGTTACATTTTAAAGGAACTCCAAACTTGGAACAGTAACCAATGTTAGTATGTTAATATGCCTTAAGATACCACAAATATGAGATAGATGCAACTAAGAAAGATAAAATAATAAAGTATCATAGATCCAAATCAACAATAGACATATGAAAACACATGAACCTATAAGGGCTATGTACAAAGCAAAATAACCATTCTTGCTATCTAATCCATGATGGCCTTGACTTCTTCCACTTTTGATGTGAAGTTTTTGTGCTTTCAAAAAGAAGGTAATTGTCATTTACCTAGTGGGGTAAAAGGTCCTCTTCTATCTTTTTTTTCTTGAAAAAAGGATACTTCTTTAGTATTCATTGAGTAATATGGGTTTTATTTGTTGCTAGGGATTTTCTGAGACTCTTTAGAGGAGTTGGCTTAGTAAGAATTTTAATTTCCCACATTTTCTAAATTTAGTCGACCAAATCCAGAAGTAAAAATGGAGGCCATGGCATCTAAATTGGTCTCCATCTTTGGTTTCTCACCAAAATAATTTGTGGTTTCAAATGTTCATCCTTTCATGCATATGTTCTTATTCTAAGGAATAAGGATTTGGTATGTTGAGAGACATAAGAGGGTTGTGATTTGTGAATAGCTGGGGCAGCATGTGGTTTTTTCTACTCAGAATGTAAACATCCATGTGGTGTCCCATTCCACATGGGCACCCCTAGAACTCTCTAGAATAAGTTTTGGACTGAAGTCTGGGTTTGCTTCTAAATTTCCATAATTGGCCACCTCTAGCGCCATTTCCCCCTTGAAAATGGCTGCCAAACTGCCTTTTTGGGCTCAGAGGGAAGTTCTCATGTCTAGCTTCTTGTTTCATAACTGCAGTCCCTACTTGACCCTTTTGGAGTAGAACCTCGCAAAAATATGATTCTATACGAGTTACTGTGAAAGTTTGTTTGGGTTCAAGAGTGTTGCCTTGGATAACCTTGATCTCTTCATGTGGATTGTTCTTTGTATTGATTTGAGAGCACCTTGAGTTGTTTAGGCATTGAGGACTATGATTAGAGAAGCTATAGGCGCTCCATATTTTTCATTATAGTTCTTAACTTTGGATTATGTGGCTAATTGGTCATTGTCATGGTTTATGATTAAGCAAAGCTCGACCCTTTCTCTTTATAAGGAGGTCGTGCTCCAAATGGAGGCAGTGTTGAGTTTGGTTTCATCATCCAATTGAGATTGGATGAAGCCTAGCTGTCCCACTATGTATCATGAAGGTACGGTGCATTAGTGGACATTATTTTGAGTAGAAGCTGATTTTTGGCCTGCAAAAAGTGGCCAAGATTCTGCTGGCCATAAAGACCAACTTTTATAATCGTTATTTATACTATTATCAGCGCTCCCATAGGCTTTTGACTAATATGGCTGCCGATTACATTGGTAGTTATTCTGATTGAAATCACGATTATTAATTAGGATAAATTTGTCCAATAAAATCTACATCGGCCCTTTGGAATATTCCTATTTTCCCACAGTTTGGTCCTTCGTGATTGTCTTTGCCACACTACTCACATACAAGGACCGATGCAAGTAGATTTACTATTATATTTGCTATGTGGAGCTACCTTCTCAACTCTGCGATTTTCTCATTGATTACGGTGAAGGGATCTTCCGATTCCTATGCCATCTCAACCACCATATAAGGAAACCTCATAGAACAATTCTGACATTTAGTTGACATGGACGCAAAGTGTTCCAAAGTTTGTGCATCAATCATTAGCATTATGTCACCTTCGCTTCCTGATTTACCAACACCATGGTATTTAGGTTGAGACCTTTACCAAAGATATCTACAAGCTATTCATAAGTATGCTGGCTAACCCGACCAACCTGGTCAATTATATCCTCAGTTCTCCATGGATGATAAAATCTCCTATATAAGCTTGAACTAGATCACCCCATGTACATAAGGTTTCTAGGGTTGGAAATTTAGCCAAATCTTTGCTTTCACCTAGAGGAAAAAGGGAAAAGATGTAGCTGAATTGTATCATCTGGCTCAACAATGAGGTGTTGTGAGGAATCACATATCTCTAGAAACATTTTGATATGCTCGATAGATTTTTGTTATCCCATCCTTCAAAACATCAAGCATTCTAGACCATGTGAGTTGTTGAGCTCTGCAACTCAAAATTTTGGACAGTAATCGAGGGTAGAACTATGTAGAATGAGGCATGATATACTCGTATGGCATTCGTGCATCCACACCTCTCGGAGATAATGGTTCAGAAGGTGTTTTTATTACTTTTTGCTTGTGAAAACTTATTGAAGAGAGGATAAAAGCAAAGAGCTTTGAGTTGATTTCCCTTAGAGGTTCTCTTTCTAGCTTGTGGTGTCCTAGATTTAGACAAATAAGAGATACCACTAAAATAAACACGACCTTGGGTTGCCCTTTTGAGCTTTATCTTATGGATTCTGCTCCAGGTTTGTGTTGGGCTCATACACAGAAGCTACCTCATATAAATAGTTAAGTGACGAGAGTTTTTAAAAATGGGACCAAAACTGCCAAAGTTTTCCAAAAAGGGCTTTTTGCCGATTTTGCACCTCCTGTATTTTAGCTTAGACTCTAACTACAACCCAAAAACATAAAACTATAAGAACAGAAAAAGAAACATAGATAGGATACGAGTAGAAACGAAAATAAACACAAAATGGTTACAGAAAAGCAAAACAAAAATACAATACACTAAAAATGAAAAGGAAAAATAAAAAACACGTAATATACTCCTTTTTAGAAAGGATCGTAAAAATCCACGGCAACGACACCAAATTTTGATATGTTGTAGAACAAGGATCGAAGAATTTACCTGGTCGGTAACCATGATCGTATTTCCACAAGGCATTTCAAGTTCCCCCTATTCAGTCAGGGATATGCATGTTATTTGTCTTAGAACTGAATTGTAGAGATTGAGGTGCTTTAGGGGTTCCCCTTTATTTTTTCGCAGAACACAAAAGAAAAGAACTACAAAAGAAATACAATAAAAATGGTCGAGGGAAAACATAATTTATCATCATGAGTATAGAAGGAAAACACCAATTATCTAGATTGATAAGAAATTTTTCTCTAGTGATACCTCATTGATGCTACACGAGTATAGAGGGGAGGATCAACCATCTATACTTCTAGTAGTATCAATGGTTGATTGTTAGATCATTGATGCTATAGACTATATTATGGTTCATAGAAGCACAATTAATCGTATGCAATCTAACTTTCTTATTCTTCATTAGTTAGGTGATGACATGAATTAAAAGCATCCATTAGCTAGTTAAATCTCTATCGCAAGAGGTGCATGCACTGGTACAGAGTGTCCTTAGAGGAAGAGATAGAGTGTTGTAATAGATGAATGATGAATCATCAATGCATGTTGTGATTAAGACCTAGTATGCATGATAACACACGATTTTACTCTCTTATACAATAATGTACCCTTACTCTTATGCATCTATAAATTGAAAACCACCTAAACAATTTTACTCTTCTTGCTTTGTTTGTTTGTTAAATGAAAACCCCTAAAAGTTCTTATTTTGTGTGTCATGGATGGTTAGTATGAGTAGTTATGAATTAGAAGACCTCGAGGAATATAACCCTAGGGCATCCTATGATTTTATCACTCAATATTACATCAGTTGGGTTTACCTTCACTATGGAGGTGATAAGGTCCATCTTACTTGTGAGTTCTTGCAATTGGGCCGATACTGATGATGGTTCTCCCTCATCTAATATTCCTTCTTTTTTGGAGGTCTATCCTCTTTCTCCCTCAACCCAATCATAACTATTAAGCTCCATCTCTTTAATAAGTTTGTCCATATGCTCTACCTCTTTGTTTCTCATTACACCACATCTCACTACATCTATGAGATAGTGGGACTCTACCCTTTGTAAAATGAATAAACATTTAACCAATCAGGTAGTCCACAATAGGGAAGTTTGAGTAACAGTGATGTAAATCTCTCTCATGCCTCGAACAATGACGCATCATCTTCTTGCTAGATGAAGTGATCTTGCTCCTCTTTAAAGCTGTCTTGGAGGGTGGGATGTAGCAAGAAAATAACTTATCAAAGGCGTCCATCCATGAGGTGATTGACTGATGAGTATAATTGTTTAGCCACTGTTGGGTCATTCAATTGAGTGAAAATGGGAAAAGCTTAAGATAGGTTGCTTCAGGAGGTACTCCGTTGATCTTAACCCTATTGATGAGTTTCAGAAATGCCTTGACATGGTGTGCACGTCATTATTCTTCAATCCATTTCCATGGATTGAAGTTTGAAGTTTAGGAGTGGAGGATGAAGGATCGGGGACTACACGTTGTCTACACTCGGTCGAGTGTATGACCCCATGGTTCTCGGTGGAACTCTTTCTTGCTCTTGTTGTTCTGCCATATGGGGATTTACTTCTTGTTCTTGTCCTTTTGAGACCTCACAGTGTCCTCTCAATCTCTACACCGAATGGCATGATATTATCGAGATTCCTCCTTTGCATATAACTGCTACACAAGAAAATCAAACACTCGTGATAAATACAATAAAATGAAACAAAACAAACAACTGCAACTATAAACAAAAACCGAAGACAGAAAAGTAAATGACTATAGTAACAACCTAACTCAATTCAGCTAGTTACTAGTTGTCTTCCCAGGCAACGCCGCCAAAAAGTTGGTTGCACGTTCAAAGGCACATACACACGAGTTTCAAAAAACCGGACATTTCTATCACACGATTCCTTTTGTGCCAAGTATAAATTAATTGTGCGCAGTAGTACAACAGTTGACCGAACTCGTATCCATGGGCTTAACAACCTAGCCTACTCTCTGAGCATGATTATTATTGAATAGAATATTTAGAGTTTTGTTGATGACTAAACGAGTTAAAACTATGAAAGATGTCAAAAGTGTAGAATGATACTTGGGGAGTCATCCCCCTCACCCTAACAGTCGAGAATAACATGCAACGATTGGTTAACCAAGAATTCTACGACAATTAATCACTAAAAAACAAATCACTTATTTTTTTGGTTCAATGGCTACTCTCATTAGAAATTGGTAGAAGGGGAAGGGTTGATGGCACCTAAAGAGCCACAACACCTAATTCGCGCATTAATGCACATAAATTTATTCGTATTCATGATAAATTGGTGTTTAGTCATATAACAGTGGTGGCTATTCATGCAAATAGCAAATGGTTATTTACGTCATTGTAAAATAAAATTTTAAATTTTGAAATATATCAAATGGATGTCATTCTGTAGTTTATGATCAATACAACTCATTTTTACAAAAAAAATGGAAAAGTCTAATAAAATTTCAATTATATAGACAATATAAATTATTAGGTAGAAATTATATGTCATAAATTTTAAGGGATCGTTTGGATGAGGAATTGTAACGGATCAATTTGACACAATTGTCTCGTTTTGAGACAATTGTACCAAATTGTCTCGTTTGCCAGCACAAAATTTGGATGGGTCAATCTGCCTGAGGTATTTTGAATTGATTCATTTTGAGTCAATTTCAATTACCTGGGGTGGGGGCAGGTAATTCGAATTGACTCGTTTTAATTGCCTCGTTTATAAAACGAGACAATTGATAAAATTGACTCATTTATAGATTGATCCATCCAAACGACCCCTTAGGGGTCATTTGGATGAGGAATTCTAATGGATCAATCTGACACAATTGTCTCGTTTTGAGTCAATTGTGCTAGATTGATCCGTTTGGCAGTAGAAAATTTGGATGAAACAATGTGGGGTGGGGAATTCTGAATTGACTCATTTTGAGCCAATTACAATTGTCTGGGGTAAGGGCAGATAATCTGATTTGACTCGTTTTGTAAAATGAAACAATTGGTCAAATTGTCTCGTTTTACAATTGATCCATCCAAACGACCCCTAAGTGAATAAGCATCTAATTACATGAATAATCACCGAATGACATAAATGAACGCAAAAATGCATGAATTAGATTTTTTTACAAGGAGTTTCATTAACTGAATAGTGTTACAAAATTTGGTATTAACCCAAAAGCATACTTCAGTCAAGACAAGCAAGCTGAGAAGAAAAGTCCACACATTTTAAGCCCAAATATTGAGTGCAAACCCAAAACCACAAACAGTAAAGTGAGCACAAAAAGGGAGCACCCCAAACCTATACGAATAGGAAACTCAATAGAAGAGTGGAGATAGTTGTTGTCGTTTGGAATCTTCACCCACATATGAACCATGCAAACCAGCACCTCCAGATAAAAGAAAACCAACATCATGGGTAGCCTGAAAGACAGAAGGGTAAACATGCCAACCAAGAAGGAGGATGGATTCGAAGAAAGCCGACAAACCTACAAGGTGCACCTGAATGAAACACCCTAACCCGGCCGGGAACTACTTTTACTAAAATGCCCTTGATAAATAAAATACTCAAAGCTTAAATTTCAGTAGGAACAATTTTCATAAATAAAATACTGAAAACACACACTTGTGGTTCAAAGCAATGCCCTAACACGTGGGCAAACTCAATACTCAAAATCTCAAACTGATCTCAAAATAATCTCCAGTCTGTACTCATAATCATAAATGTAAATAACTAATAATCTCTAAAGTTGTTGCTACTGAAAACCTTGACTAAGCATCCTCTGTGACGCTTATACTGCTCTCCTCTAGCTGGCTACCCTCGAACTCGCTGCTCACTAATTGCTCCTCTAGCTCCTCAACTTAAAATCATATACTTAAAAGAATGCATAAGGCGTAGAATTTACGCCCTTTACACTCACCTCAACTCACGTCTCTTAGCTTGAACTAACTGCTGACCAGAATTAAATCCTTAGGATCGTCTCTCCTTGCTTGAATCATCCGCACTAGCTTTATCTGCTGCACCCTACAAGCGGTCTGACAAGCTCTTCATCATCGTTTTCCTAGCGCCAACCCTCTCCCTTATTTCTTCAAGCACATTCAATCGACTTAATGACTCAGCTTCAACCTGATTGAGCGAATGAAGCTTCTCTTCCAAAGCTTCCTTCTTCTCTCTAGCTTCCTTAAGAGCAGAGGAAAGGCTCCAAAATCGCGCGACTTCCTGCTCGTAATCCTCCCATTCGATCAATTTCACACTCACCAATTCGCTGCTGCTTTGTCCGGATCATCTCTCCCGCTCCCCACATTGACAACGAGATAGACCCGTGGCAATGATAGGCGGGCCACCATCATAGATGAAGAGAACCACATACGTAAGGATGTGGTGGAAGCTGAGGGCGGCCGCTTTGGCAGTGATAGCTTTTGGTTTTAGTTTAGGGTTTCTACATTTAGTGAATGGGGACGGGTTTTTGCTGGGGGGGGAATATTGTTTGGCGGTGGGGATTGGATGGAGCGGCCCTTTTTGGGGCCCGAGTGAACACATTCATTTTTTTTAATAATAACAAAATAATAATAATAAAATAATAATAAAAAATATTATTATTATACTAATCCGCGATTGCAATCCTTAGTACGTAACCGTTAATCCAACCGTTCACGTATTATGGTCGAACCTGAGCCCAAAGGTCGGGGTGTAACATTTCCTCCACCCTTATAAAAATTTCGTCCCCGAAATTTGCTTGAATCTCATTCCTCTGTCAACACCAATCTTGTACTTCCTTCCCCCAATCATTTATTCTTACCATAACAACTTCATTAGTAACCTCTGACCATTTATATTTCCTTAGCTGGTAGTATTCGTGTAACCTTAAGTGACTCCCTACCCTTTTTGTTTCCCAACTTGATCCAAAAGTGATGAAACAAAATGTTGATTTGACTGGACATGTTGACCAATTCTCCTGGTAGTTGTTGTTGAACCCAAGTCCAGAATCGAGATATCACATTTCCCCCCTCCTTAAGAAAATTTCGACCCCGAAATTTGTTCACTGTGATTACCCCAGGCATCGCCTGTGGTAATCCTTTTCACTTCGCGGATTTTTATTTCCTTTAACTTATACGACATGACCTAAAATCCTTCTCTCCATTCCATACAACTTCAATGTTGTTGTGGCTTCTTAACCCTTCACATTACCTCGGCTGCACCTTGTACATATATAGGAACGATAACTATCCATTGTTCGGTACAGGAGAAGTTAATGCCCCTCTCCAACCCCAAGGTCACTGATGGCGGCTTATCCTCCATCTAGTAAGGTGGTAAAACTCTTTTAACGTAACTCTCGTCTGGGGTTGACCTCATAGGTGACCTAGGACATTGTACCTACTAACTTTGTATCTCTTACTTTCTTCTTTAAAACTCTTTTAATAATAATAAAATAATAAAAATAAAAATTATTATTATTATACTAATCCGCGATTGCAATCCTTAGTACGTAACCGTTAATCCAACCGTTCACGTATTATGGTCGAACCTGAACCCAAAGGTCGGGGTGTAGCACTGAATCTCGTCACTACCTAGGCAAAGTTGGACAATTAACCACCAGATGCTCTAAAAGGAGATGCAAAGAGGATGAAACTAGTACGATAGGAGGTCGGCACCTGAATCATGGAGATCGAGTTTTTGTCTTCTCATCTTCATCCGAGTCTGAGGCGAAACACAAGGATGGCTACAAGCATCTCTAAATGAACAAGATAAGCTTGCTGAAGCAATGAGGTAGATGAAGGAAAAGAAAATGAGAAGGCAAGCTGATCTTAGAACAAAACCATGCTCTTTTGGCACCACAAACAAAAGGTCTCCATATCTGCTGAGATCGAAGAAAAAATAGAAGACAATCATCTCAATCAAAGAGATCGAAGAAAAAATTCAAGAAGCGGAGTGGAAAGCAATATAACCCACAAACAAAAAGATAAAAAGAAGCATTTGAAAAAGGGAAGGAAAAAATGGTGTTGTGCCTCTTTAGGGGGAAACACTATGGTGTTAACACTTTTTTATTGTTAGCATGAGGATAATACTAGTTCTACCCAATAGGAACATTTCGTGTAATGACTTTTTAATTTAAATGACTTGATTATTATTAATGATGGAGAGGGGCATGGTGGTCATTAATAAAAAATTGGGAGAAAAGGAGGGACTAGTGTGTGTGCATAAATGGGAAAGAGGGTGAATAATTGGGGGCGGTGAGGGAGCCAGGAATCTCAATAGGGGGAGGCTAACTTGTACTGTACCAGCTACTAGACTGAAAAGAAGAACTTTACTTCCGACAATAGAGGAAGAAAGAGTCTCGTGCATCGTCTTGAGAAAGCTTAGGCGACCTAGACATGGAAATGAAAAGCAAGAGCAGCCAGGTAGATCAGATGAATAGTCCCGAGATGAGTAATCGTTAGTGCTTTCAACCGTAGGAGTAGGAAATTTTCTTAGCTGAGCTTTTGTGTAACGAGACAAGCAGTTGCCAGCTAGATTAGATTGGAATTTTGGGGACCATCAAACACAAGAAACCACACCATGAAAAAACCCCACAAAGCTTAGAAAGATATCACAACCTCACCGCACCACAAATTTATAAAAGCACAACACAAGTTCCACAAAGCACACCACAAGTTATTAACTGACCACAACTCGCATAAAGCTTATCATAAGTTTATAAAAGCACACCACGAGTTTCTTGAAGCATACCACCACAAGTTCTACGAAGCAGACCACAAGTACCATAAAGTATACAACAAGTTTCTTAAAACACACAAGTTCCTGAAATATATTAGAAGTATCATAAGCACACGACAAATTTATAAAAGCACACCACAAGTCTCATTAGAGCATACCACAAGTTTATTAATGAACACCACAAGTTTCTTAAGGTATACTAAAACCCTCGTAACAGTGGACCTATTTGTAAATTTTAAAAATTTCAAGTATCAAAATGTGATGAAATTCTTTTACTATACAAATGATAGTTTTGGTACATGAACTTAATATATATTAATATTTAGTGTCTAAAATCAATTGTACAGATAGGTCCTAAAAATATTAATAAAAAATTACATTTTAAATGTATTTTTCTAATCAATTGTACATATAGGTCCTAAAAATATATTACATTTTAAAATGTATTTTTCTATTAATAGGAGAATTTAATTTAATCACTAAATATTAATATCTATTAAATTCAACTACAATAGCTGTAATCTATATATACAACTTCAAAGACAACATAGATAAAGAGGAAAAAGCAGGAGCCTAAATGTGTCCTTATTAAAAGTGTTCGCCTCTATCTCTTCATGAGGTGACACCAAACCTTTTCCTTGATGAATATGAATGACAAAAAATCTAGAATTGTGGATATCTGTTCAAGTCCAACGCAATTGGACAGGGTAAAAATTCGAACCCAAAGGATTTTTATTGGGTACGGGTAAATTCGAACTCGAGTTCTCACAAGAACTCATCCATTTTACCCCAGAACACGTTATATTAGTTAAAATCGGTTTCTTACTTATCACTCACAATTTTTGATTTGAGGATACTGATCACGTCTAACTTTAGAGTTCTCATAAAAACACCTTCATTTCACCTCAAATTAATATTAGTTTCTTACTCATGAAGTACAAATCTCAATTCGTACTTTAACTATGTGAGATTTGCGTATGTACATTATCCAACTGTAAAAATGGTTGAAGAGAAGCATCTTCCTTTCGTCCGTCCGTTCGTCCTTAATCCTTCCCTCCCTTCGTCTATCTATTTGACCATATATCTCTCTCCTCCTTCCGCTTCTCAGCCTTCTCTGCTCTTCCGCCCGCCCACGTATGTTTCCGCCTTCTCTCTTGCCCTGACATCACAACTGACAAGAATTCGAGGGCTACTCGTTGATGTTCCCTTAGAGAAAATCATCTTCGATTTCAGTCACTTTTTGTCCTCTGTACATTTCTCTCTCTCCTCCGTCGGTCTACCTTAGACAGAGCGGTGGCGGGTTACCTGTCTGGGGGACACTCATAGCTATGGGTAATTGGAAGAATCGCCCGTCTCGGAGATGGCACTATAATCAAGATAGACGACCTCCCAAATCGTATTACGATTCTCACCCTCCTACTTGTCAAGGTATAAATTATAACCCTCATCTTTGTTCTTGTGTTTTTGCTCGTTGAATCTCGATGAAATTATTCTCTTTTTCTAATGAAACCTGATTGAATTAGCCCTTTCTTTCCGCCGATTCTTGATTTGGGTATTCGCTGTTCTGCTTGTGGGGGTTTTCATGGCTTGTGGCTAGTTGATGTTGCTGGGGTTTTCACGTTATGTCTTGTAATGTTCTGTGTTTGTTATGCGAAATCAAGTAGAAGCTCAGGGAACCTGTATGGTTGGTTAAAATGATCTTCTAATATTGATTTGTTCTATTTTGTTTGGATTGAGTATATTAAGAAAGTTGTAGCCATTCATTTGATGCTGCTAATGGAAGGATGTGATGGTTTTGAGAAATGAAGAGTGTTTTTGGAATTGGCTTTCAGTTTCCTTATTATCCCGTTTTTGCCTAGAATGCTGAAGGATACGAAGGGTCGCAGATAGAGATAGTAACAGGTTACTCAACTTGTATGGTTTCAGATTTTGATGTCACTAGGTCTGCATGCAAAGTCATTGGCGATCGTCATAGCTTAATGCCATCAACAGATATTACTGTCCTGTACATCTCTTTCACGATGTGGTGTTTACTTTGTGTGTGTTACTAGATTTCTTTGTTGCCATTGTCGCATTTTGTTTTATGTCATTTGTGCACTTTAAACTGTTGTCGTTTTGACCGGCATAACATTGATGAACATCACCTGATAGGGATTATTCAATGGAGCAATTGCTTAATGAACAAGTGCCATTCCTTTTCTGCTACTGCTTGTCATTGTTTGCGTCATGCTTGTTGCCATGCCAAGGATTTTGTGATGAAAATTTGCCCGGGGCTTGTTACTGTGGTGTGTGTTCGAGGGCGGCAAATCTTAAAATTTGACATCTATTTTTGGTTTCATACAAAAGATTCATGATTTTATGAGACATAAGAACTTGAGTGCCTCCTTGGTTCATCATGATTCTAGGGGTATAATGTACGCGTTTATAACTTAATCAAAAGAACTACATCAGTAGAAATCAAGAGCAGGTTTAGTCATTTCGATGGTACTAGCTGGCTAATTCTGAAGCAAGAAAATACATTATGTTTTGTTGATATTGGTACATCTGTTTAGTAATCCTGAATCTGACTAGCATTGGATTTATTTTCTGTAGAGTATGTTGAGGATGGTGTTCCTGTATGGGAAAAGGAGTTCTGTTATGCTGTTGGTGCAGTACCTTGGCATAAGGTTGTAGATGCCAAGAAGTTCTCCTACTGCCAAAGTCAGGTCCTCAAATGGGACGACTCAGCCGGAAAAGAGGCATTTCATAATGCCAAAAAACGTTACTGGGCAGTTATTAATGGTCTCCCATGCGACGTACCTCCACCGGATCCTAATGCTTGTATTGATGAAATAAATTGGAATCCTTATATTGACGCTGAACTGATTCGAGAATTGGAGCAAGAGTATTTTGCTCCAGTTGATGACGAGAGGAACTTCGGTAATAGAAAGAAAAAGACCAAGAACTTGTTCTCTCATCCGCTAGAAGGTTGTAGTATGAATCCTGGAGACGATGCGGTGAACCCTTGGGGGGCTCAGAACTTTGTGCAAATCAGTAGTGCTGCTGTCAATGCTGAATGTCAAGGCTGGGGGGATCAGTGGGATGATAACCTGAAAGAATCTAATGATTCAAATAAAGCTGATAATAATCCCTGGGAGAAGGCCTACCATCAAGGAGATGAAGCTGTAGACGGGAGCAGAGGCTGGCCAGTTTTAGGTGATAATTCATTGGGATGGAACCCTTCTTCTGTCTATGTTGCTACAAAATCGAATGGTTGGGTGAATGGAGGCAATACTTGGGAGGGCAACGGTGAAGCTACTAGTATCCCTTCTAAGACTGATGGTTGGGGTGAATTTCGGGATGGGTCTTGGGGTGATAATCGATATCATCCAGGAAGACTGAAAAGTGGTCAGCAACCTAGGGAAGGCAGCTTTGAAGCTAGTGGTACTCAGAATGATAGTGGATGGAGAAATAATAGCAGCAGTCAAGCATGGGTGAGGAAACAATGGGATGAACATGCTGCTGAGGAAACCAAAAACTCGAACTATAGAAAGCCAGGTTGGGGAACCTGGAATAAGGATTCCTGGAGGAATGATGGCGGCCATCAAGATGGAACAGGATACAGCAGGACGCAACCTAGGTTTGATGATGGTAACTACGAATATCGAGCAGGCGGTCACCATTGGAGGGGTAAGAAGAGGGTAAGTTTTGGTTATAGCTAAGTAAAAGCATTTTGTAGAGTATATATAGAATGTGCCCTTTTGTTATGTGGGACGAGAGAGTGTCTTGTGTCTTGTGACTTTCCATCTCCAATTCTCCATCATCCAAGTAAGTGTTCACTGTGTGTTTATGCTGATCATGACGCAGTTCAGCGTTCTGTATTTGATGTCGCAGTTTTGTCTGGTGTCGAAATTCATTAAACTAAAATCAAATAACCTGTAATTTGGATGACGGAAAGACGCACGCTTCCATAGCTATAACAAGTTGGTACGTTTTCGAGTGCTTCTTTCCACTTTTTTGTTCCATGTTTATTAGTAGGTTCCTCCAACTTATAGACCTCTAATTTATTATACGCTCTCGAGTTAGGTAACTAGTTCGTGGAGCAAGAGCGGGAGAGCTTTTAATTTTCAATAATGTTATTTTCAGAGCGTGATAAAAGCATTAATATTATATTATTTTTATTTAAATATTGTATTATTTAAATATTTTTAATCAATACCAACCACAAAATGTATAATTTTACTAATTTTTTCGACTAGTAGCGGATCAACTCCCATATAAATGAATATGATTCTCCCTGCTATCACTAAAATATTGTTTTAAACTTTTAATTAGAAGTAGAAGTAAAAACATTATTTTTATGGAAAACCTGGTTGTATATTGTATTACATGGAAACAGAAGGTTTACGACCCACAAAAGCCAACAGCTTCAAGAATTGTGTACAAGAAATGGAGTGGATACCCAGCCCAGTCATATACATTCCACGTCGGAGCCTAATGACACAGAAAATGTGCCACACAATTCTGACGTCTTGGAGAACACTCGTCCTTCCATCTCAGATCAAGCTCTGTTCGATCCTTATCTCTGCAAATCAGGAGGGAGATTAGACACATGCAATCTGTCTCCACCGCTGAAGGCCCGATGCCATGCATGTCGATTCGGATTTCGGAAGCTTAAAACCCGTCGCCATGACATCTGCGTGGTTTCAACTAACAAGAATTCCCCTTGTCCTTCTTCGAGAAAGCTTGACAGAAGAAACCTCGATCATCTCAAATAACAGCTGTCAATTCAAGCTATAAGAAACCCACCAGTGCACGCGACCCATGGTTTGATTGGCGAGGCTGCCCCTGAGTTTTCTCGTTCGGATGCATGGGACTACTAATTCTTCTTTCTGCTAGCTGTCTGTTAAGTTTCTCACCTCTTTTACCTGTCCGATCTCTTCCACCAACTCCGGTTCGAGCCAAGGCTTATAGATTGGCGGCAACATGACTCTTGATTCTTCCATCTTGTCACAATTTCCCAAAGAAAAGTTCAATTAGAGAAGCCGATGAAGAACTTGGTCCAGATTGAGAGAAGTATTTGATGATAAGGTGAGATGATATCTATCAAAATCAATATTGTTTGAGAAGATAATCAAAAAATGCTGAGAACAAAGAGAGTTCGCGCTCTGCATTTCAAAGTTCGCGCTCTAGCTAGATATAATTCGCGAATTATAAGCGAATTTTCTGGAATTCGCGATTTGGCGGTTGAAAGCGGGAGCGCTACCGCGTAAGTGGCAAATTGTATATCCTAACTCTCGAGGGATGGAGGAACCTATTTGAGAGAACCCTGCTTCTAAGGAGCAGATCTTGTGAGTAATCCCATGCATAACCCAATAAGAATCTGCCACATCAACGTCTCCTTCTCCTTCCTGGAAAAATCATTAATTTTCTTTCTCTTAATCTTTAACGAATGATTTCTCACTCGTTTTAACTCGGAATTTAATTTTTTTTGCACAGTTAGATCAGATTAATTGTTCTCTTCAAAATGATATCCACTTTGATATTTTTTGCAACAAAAAAAATTGCCAGTTATTACCAGTCAATACCATATGGTATTGACTGGTATTAAATAACAGCATATCATATGGTATGAAAAATACCACCTCATACCAGGGTGGTATAGTATGGTATGGAGTTGGTAACGAGATGTATGGAATTTTTTCCCCTAGAAAATTTAGAAATCCAATAGATCACGATCAAATCGTTCCTTTTGTGAAAAAATTTCCGAAAATGACTAAACCACGAAGGATATATCCATATGGTATGGAGTTGGTAACAAGAGGGATGAAAAAAAAAATTTCTCAAAAAATATTGAAAATGGATATCATTTTGTAGAGCACAACGAACTCGTTCCATTTGTGCAAAAAAATTTGAAATCCGAGTTAGAATGAAGAAGATATGATCCAATTAAGAAAACTAGGGAAAATAAATTCCTTTAATTCTCCACCCTTAGATATGCAGCCACTTAAAAGAAGAGTCCAGATTTGGTTACTCATTGTTAGTCACCCTAAGGTTACTCACCCTATCTTGAGCCCTACTGCTAGGGATTCTCGATATTGATCTTCGGCACTCGTGATAATTAGGGATTTGGGGGTTGAGAGAAAGAATTAGGGATTTAGATGAGAAGAACAGAATATAATTGGGAATCGGCCAAGGCCTTGGATTAGGAGAGGATAGAAATTAGGAGTTGAGAGGATAAACTAGGGTTTAGGAGACTGTTCTGAATATTCTGCTTGACTCCTTATGAAGTAAACCCAAAATACATATTTATAGTGAAATATTGGAAAACCCTAATAATAATCCTAATACGACTAAATCTCTACTAACCATAATTATAATTATCCTACCTAATATAATAATAGAAACCCTAAATAAATGTATTTCTGACAATCCATCCCCTTTAAAACAACCTTGACCTCAAGGTTGTAGTTGACTTCTACCTCCTTAACCTTTCGCTTTCTTCGTTTCCAATTGCGCTCGATCCCTTGCATGAACTCTTCTCGCACCAGTCCAACTTTCCTTGACTCTCCTCCACGCACGTGACATGTGTCATGTTCTTTATAGCCGAACAATCCGCCATCTTCCTTTTCGAAATCAACGAAATAAGAATCGGAGAATAGTTCTTCATTTTGCCCATCATCATTACCCACCTTGAGATCTTTAATGAAATGCTCCATAAATTCCTTTATGGTCTTGGTGGCGAATTTAAGCTCTAGCCTTTCCCAATCTTCTTTTATCTTATCCTTGATTTGGCCCACAAATACTTGAAAGAAAGAGGTGTGGCCCAAATCATTGACAAACTTCTTTGTGTTCTTCTTCTTCTCAAATTCGTTTGGGCCTTACTCTCTTGCAAGCCCATCCAACAACATAAAGACCTCCTCCAAGCCTGGCTTCTTTAAGACACAAACCACATGGGGCTCACTCTTTCCCTGCAAAACAGATCCAATAAAAGAGCAATTGTGTGCCCCAAGTCTTACTTGGTTCGGCCCACTTTGTTGGCCAAGCCTGGCAGACTTCTTCTCCTCTTCCCAGCCTGCTCCTTCCAACTTAACCCGGCCCACGACCCCAATGTATTGGCCCAACTGAGGCAACAACGACTGATGTGGTGGTCCTCGTCCCCAGACTCCAGCCCTAGGGCTTGCGACAGAACAAAGGCGGCCGCCACCCCCCTTCTTCCTCGCTTCTTCTTCTTTCCTCGTCGGCGAACCGGCTCTCCCGCGGCATGGCACCCGCCGCCGTCTTCCACTCCGCTTCGTCTTCTCGTCTTCACACAACGTCGCCGCTGCACTCCTTTTCCGCCGAGCAATCCTACGTTGCCTCCTCTCTCCTCGGCGGCGCCCGCTTCTCCTCGTTCGTCGGCGACGAGCCACCCCACTCCTTCTTCTCCGGCGTCTCGTCGAACGCCGCCATGTCCCTCCGGCGGTCCCTCTTCTTCTCCGGCGTTGGGCAGTTCGCCAGGCGGTGGCGGTTTGATCCTAAGGCCACGCTAATCATCATCGTCGCCAACTCGGTCCCAGGTCGCCGGTCATTATTGACGTGGGGACCCGCCATCTCCGAGCAGCTCATCTGAACCCTGGTCGTTCCAATCAAGGATGGCGGTGGTGTCGCAGGGGAGGCAGTTGTCCCTGCAACTGTCTTCTCGGCCGCTACAGTTGGCTTCTTCGACGCGGCGGCTGCAGCTTTGAGTGGAGCAGTCCGCTCGACGTTCTTGGAAAACTACGAGGACGAGGTAACCTCGTTCCTCCTCATCTCGCCCAACTTCGACTTCAAAATCCTTGTGAGTTCGCTGACCGATAGCTCTTCGAATCTCGACATGGCTCCGGTACGAGTGCCTGTAACCGGGCTCTGATACCAATTGAGAGAACCCTGCTTCTACGAATTTTTGATATTGGTCTTCGGCACTCGTGATAATTAGGGATTTGGGGGTTGAGAGAAAGAATTAGGGATTTAGATGAGAAGAACAAAATAAAATTGGGAATCGGCCAAGGCCTTGGATTAAGAGATGATAGAAATTAGGAGTTGAGAGGATAAACTAGGGTTTAGGAGACTGTTCTTAATATTCTGCTTGACTCCTTATGATGTAAACCTATAATACATATTTATAGGGAAATACTGGAAAACCCTAATAATAATCCTAATACGACTAAATCTCTACTAACCATAATTATAATTATCATACCTAATATAATAATAGAAACCCTAAATAAATGTGTTTCTGACACTATTAGTACTGATAGTCTGTTTGTTTACCTTGAGAATGCTGCAAGACTTTTGTAGCAGTTGTCAATGTGGCGAATTGCGTCGATTCTCTGTTGTCACTTGGTTGATAGAATACTTGATTATGCTACCGCAATATTTCAATTTATTATTTAAATTTGCCTCATAGCTCATTCACCATAATGTGCTGGACCTCAGAGTGACTCCCTTCTTTCCTTCCATTGCAATGCCAAGCATTCGAGTTCAACCTAGTTTCCCTTGTAGCTTGGTAATCCCAAATTAGAAACGGTGACTAGCTGTCTGTAATTCCCATGAATGGGAGAGCTATATATTAAAGCAGCAGCCTGGAGAGATTACAGGCTATTCCAAGTAAGAGGGGAAATCCCCAAGAATCTCGAGGGCATTCTCCGTGGGCTACTTTCTTCCGTTTGCCTCCTAGTCGCAATTGGATGAAATATCATAACCTATTGTACCTGCAACCTTGACTACCTTCCAGGTCACCTATTCCTGTCATCAGCTTCGGGAAGGTAGTTGTTTCACTTTACTATGTGGAGCTACAACAAATCGTGCATACAGTTCGGGTTCCCTTTTATCATTTTTGTCAAATCCCACAAGGCATGGCTTTACAGACCATTGTCTTGTCCTCCGCGGTCTCAGCTTGTTCCTTAGGACTTACTTGTCATAAAGGTTTAGTTTGTGGTGTATTTTGTAATTGGCCCATACCCTCCAAACAATCAGATGTGCTAATAGTTTAGACAAGGGTATTTGCTAGGAAATTCCCTCGAAGTGGTAATTCTGATTCTTCAGATCCAGATACACGACCTCCAACTAAGGAGAGGGCTTCTAAGAAAAAGTAACTCGCAACTCTTTGTCTTATCCCTCTCTTCGACGAGTGTTCAAAAGCGAAGAGCAACAAGCTCCCTTCTGAATGAAAACTGCTAGAGGCATGGCTGAATGAATTATCTATGAGTACAGTAGTTGTCAAGTTGTGAACACTGTTTCCAGCATTTTCTACCAGCGTTGAATATTCCAAATTTTGAGTTGTGAACTATTGTGAACCATGTGGTCCAGAATGTTAGATCTTTGAGGGGCGAGATAATGAAAATTTCTTCATATACATTAAAGCATATATGGAGATATGTGATTCTGCACAACATCCAAGTGTTGAGCCAAACATAATCAGCTTATGCATCTTTCCTTTATCCATTTGATGGAAAGAAAAGAGTTGGCTAAATCGCCAACCACCTGGTACTTAGTTAGCCACCAAAAGTTTGAGGAGCATAGTTGTTATCAAGATAACAAAGCCAACAAGTAATGAGCAACAACGGGGAGGGAACTAGCCTGAGGGGGAGTTTCCACAACGACATATATAATACCTAAGGTGTGCAATTCGACTCTAAGTAAAGTATATCTATCCAACACGACATTATAGCCCAATATCGCACTCGTTCAATTGTACCACAATGAAGAATGCTCTAGTCAGCCCAATTGGATATTCTCTACCTTAGATTAAAAGATCAAATTGGAGAGTGTGATCAATACCCAATCAATTTCACGATAATAACACAATTCAAAATATAATCAAGAGTGTAACAAGAAATCAAGATGTAACAAGCATAGGAATCTCCTTCGAGAAATGGATGCAGCTCCAATTTATACCAAAAAGTGCGCAATTCAAGGTCACACGTCATAGGCGGGACTTTCAACATAAAACCATGACATCGGCCAAAAGTGTGTTGTTTCACTTACACAAGTAACAAATGCTTCTGTGGATGTCATGGTTGAAACTGTGAATTCTGCAACACCCACGATCCATGTCGTGGTTCAACTCCTGGAGCTTTACTAATCTCATGACCTCCCTTGTCGATGTCACGGCTTGGGCCGTGACATTTGTGCAATGAACCGTGACATCTGAAATTTCTTGCATTTGTCTCCGTTTTCGACTCCAAATGGTCTGAAAATTATTCCTTCAACCAATTCACTTACTAGGATATGAAATATACTAAACCAAGCACAAATTAGCGTGGAGCTGGCTAAAGAAAGACAAATATTAAGCCAAACGATCAAGGATAGAGGGTATAAACATGTATAATTACGCTTGAATCAAACTCACTCACACTTAACCGTTTTCTTGCCCACAAGCAAACCTATCTCAAACCGATGCAAATTACTAGCCTCCCACAATAAATTGATATAAAGATCGTCACTAGAGGGTCAATTAGAAACTTATGAGGTCCACAGAGACAAGAAATCTTCCTACCACTTCGGAGAGAAGCACACTCTCAATCTAGGACCTTGCCAACTAGTGGAGCTAAGACATTTGATACGTGCATGAAGGGCCTCTAAAAAAGGTTAGAAACCATGGGCTCGTTTGGTGGTTCTTCTAATTCAAAGGGTAAAACTTTAGAGCATAAATTTAAATTTTCCTCTCATAGCAGCAAACCTGCAGTTTCGCAAAAACAAGTGCTCTATCTCATGGCTAGAGTGGAAGTGACATCCACTTGCCTATCTAGCCCATTCAGAGATAGAGGTGTACAGTTAGGATGTAAGGTAGTAAGAGAAGGGTAGGATACAAGATGATCCTAGACTCATGTTAAGCAACATTTCCCAAAGTGCACTTACATCCTTAGGATCGATCTATTGCGATCGGCCTAAGTTAGCGATAGGTTGACACAACATTTGAAATAAACAAGAGTCGATGTCTGTCAACTTGATCAAAAGAAACAATGTTTTCTCTATCAAGTCCCATGAGCATGAGAGGTGTAAAGGAGGATGGAGAGTATTAGGTGAAGGTTCGTAAACAATATCCTTGTCTCCCTTACACATCCTTAGAGCGCAAATTAATTTTAGATAAACCCTTCAACGAATTCACTAAGAACTTTGCCTTGTTGCCACAATATGCGGGGCACTCTTTATCATATTTAAAGCACATTCATTCAAGAATTGAGCACCTTGTTACAAAACCTTTCGAGTCCATAAGGGTAGAGAGTTACCAACCCAAGTATTCTAACACCACTAATTACCAATACCAACCAACAAAAGGTGAGATGGAGGTTAGATTTCTCATGTATAAACATCCTCCACAGTGCTACACTACCCTCTCTAGATTTCACACCATAATGATATCTAACAATTCAAAGCACAATGAGTATGACAATGCATAAGACAAGGTGTTTGGAACCCTCAAATTTAAAAATTTGGCATACACAATACTAGGTTTCAAAACACTTTCAATGTAGGCCAAAAGACATTCATTTACACATGTACTTAGATTCCTCAAAATTTTCAAGTTTGGGCATTCATCTAATCTATAAGCACTCATAAGATAGGTTAAATATTCATTCACACGCCATTCATCACATATATTCAGCATCCCCCACACTTAAGCATGACATTGCCCTCAATGAAAGAAATAAGTGTGGGTGGAACAAAGTTATCGAGATGGCAAATGAAGAGTTGTACTGGAGTTAGAACTAGTTTTGGGAGAGAAGCTAAAACAAGAGGCATACACACATACAAACTCACATGGGGGGATTTATTACAAAAACATAATTAATTGCAGTCCAAGGAGAAAAAAATAGTTCAAATTCAAACACACTTGAACAAAAGAAACTCAAGAGTCATAAGAGAGAGTAGAAAGAGTGGTGGTATCAGTTGTGCCAATCCCATGGAAATAAATCAATCGTTGTCTTTCCCATCTTCATCCTTCTGACAAGACGGGGAGGGAACCCAACCAAATCTGCTATAGTCAATTTCGTGATGGAATAACATTTGTGGCTCCATGAAATGAGAGTGGCGTCTATCCTCCCACTCTTTGTCAAAGCATGACTCCAGGCGAGAGTACTGGCCCTCCAAGGAAGTGAGCCTAGCATCAATGGAGGAGGAAGGTTCACCACCAAAAGCTGAAGAAGTCGGTTTAGCTCGGACCAGATGGTGGAAAGGGGTGGCATCTGAGCTTCCTCGACATGCTCCTCCTCACCAGCAAAAACTCGCTTGAGAAGTCCAGCATGACACAGTGCGACAATGAATGGGATGCCCCTTTAGCCTGGATGAGTCCCATACGGGCAAGTGTATCGTCATGGAAGAGCTCGCAGGTGCCGACTTGGGTGCAGATGGCGAGGTCGACTCCAAGGTTTAAGATGTTGTCTTCATTTGACACTCGTTGCTAATTACTATCTTCTTTTGTGTCAGTTCCTGTGCCCTATGCACTCCGTACTCTAGATTTCAATGTGTGTACCTCTTGTGGAGAATATGTAAGTTTATTAGTTTTATGGTTGTTGAGTTTATTCGAGCACATGTCTACATTTTAGGTGTGAAGTTTTCTTTCCATCTTTAAGAATTTTCATCATCCTTTCTTCCTCCCTTCAATCTTGCTCATTGGTGTCCCTCCACCACCGGTAATGACCTCTTAAAGATCTTTGACGCTGATGACTTCTATATTCTTATTCGTCAGGTCTAGGTGTTCCTAGCTTTAATAAACTTGTTTCGTTGACTTTGAGGTGTATACATCTTTGCATTGTAAAACTGATATTGCGAAGCTCCTTGCTGCTTAAGCTACCTTTTCTTTGAAGCCAACAATCATAAGGCAATGGTAATCATCATCGGTGTCTTGGAGGTTTTCATTCGTCAACTCCATAAGGTTATTTGTTCTAATGTGCTCCGGGTATTATGATCTTGCATGAATGCTTCTAGCAGGCTTCCACATTTGCAAATGGTGTAGTCTATAGGGAAGTTTCTCGTGTCTTTAATTGATTTGGTCATAGAGTGATGTGGAAAACCCTATCAATATCTTCAATGGAGCTTGTGTCGATTGATTTTGTAGTATGGTCATTGTAGTCTTCTTTAGGCTGTAAGGGGGTTAGAGTTTTTATTTCTCTAGAGTTACATTTTCTTAACATTTTTTGGGCAAAGAAAACACTTCAAAAGAAGAGAAAAAAGGAAAATAAAGATGTTAGAAGGAAAAATAATAACAAAATTCTTTATAGGAGGATATTTTCCTATAACTTGTGGAAAGATGAACATATGCACCAAAAGTAGGAAGAATGCTAAGACAAAAATCAAACTTCCTATACCAATAAATCATAAAAGTGAATAAGTGAAAAAGGTCTAGCAAATTGATTCTTCTTTTTGTCTGATACTTGTCCCTAAGCAATTGATTCCAACACTTTTAAGCCATATTCGGACCACGGGGAAGAGGTTCATAACCATCATGTTGTTGCCCTGAAGATTCATTCCCTTCTCTTCCACCAACAGGAATGCATTTTAGGATAGGAGCAATTATCAAACTCACAGCTCCGATAAGAATGCTCAACCCCCATAGCTCCCAACTTAGAGGCACTGTGCCAGCAAATGTCCCCAACAACTCAACCATCAAAATTTGGAACCCTATTGTCGAAACCAAGACACCCAGGAAAACCCAGCTATCAAAGATCCCTCTAAACACATTTAGCTTCTCCATATCTCTGCTGTTTATTTCATTGAACACCTGGAGAGAGTTTGAAGAATTGTCAGTTGTTGATGCTTTTTTCAAGCTAAAAGATGCACGACATTTAAAGTGATTTTTTGTTTGTACCTGGCAAAAGACAAAAGTGTTGAATATGAAGGTGTTCACAGTGTCAGTGGCATCGCTACCATGAAGTTTCAACATGCTTTTTCCTTTGAATTGAAGGATTGCCAAAACAATGATCTGGTAGATGCTCTGGCCTATGATGTTTCTCCACATTACTTTTGTAATAAAGTTTGTGCTCCTACCTATTGGAGGTCTCTTCATTAGTCCATCATGTGGTGGCTCGGTTGCCAAAGCTAATGCTCCAAGAGTGTCCATAATCAAGTTCACCCAAAGTAACTGGACAGTGGTAAGTGGAGCATCACCTACGAGTCAATTATAGCAAGTGTTGTCAATCAATAAGAATATTAGAAAGTGGGAGGGGGGGGGGGGAGAGAGAGAGAGAGAGAGAGAGAGAGAGAGATGGATGTATAGAGAGAAAACTACAAACCTGAGATGCAAGCAGACATAAAGTTGATCATTAGAGCCACAACATTAACTGTTAACTGAAACTGTACAAACTTCTGAATGTTTATGTACACAGATCTCCCCCATTTGGCAACATTCACTATTGTTGTGAAGTTATCATCCATTATGATTACATCAGCACTTTCTTTGGCTACCTAAAAATGTTGATAAATATATCATTCTTTTATTAGAGGACGAGTTTTCTTTTATAGAAATATAACATTAAACAAGAGAGATCTTAGGGAGTAAATTACTTCAGTTCCAGCTATACCCATGGCAAGTCCAATGTCAGCCTCAGCTAAAGCAGGAGCATCATTTGTTCCATCACCAGTGACTGCCACCACTTCTTTAAACTCACTCCTTAATTGAGTCACTAACTTGTGCTTGTCTAAGGGCAATGATCGAGCCATAACCTGCAGTAATGATAGCTTAAGCATGGTACTTATTTTGTTTGGTCACAAAAGCTAATGGTATGATTTTCAAAAGCTATTATGTTACAACACCTGAAGTTTTGGTATGATCTCTTCCAACTCACGAGAGCTTTTATCTCGAAAATCCAAACCCTCAATAGCCAATCCACCATCAGTCAAAATGCCACATTCCCTGGCAATAGCTTTTGCTGTATTAATATTGTCACCAGTAACCATACGAACCTTAATACCAGCAGCTAAACAAGTCTTGACTGCTTCCCTAACCCCAGGCCTAACAGGGTCCTTAATCCCAACGATACATATCAATGTGTAGCCATCTTCAGGGATATTGCTACCTTTTGAAATAGCCTTCCCTACATCTTTGTAAGCCAAGCATAGAGTCCTCAAAGCTTCAGATGCAAAATGATCGATAACATTCATGATCTTCTTCCTTTCCTGGTCAGATAAAGAAATATTTTTTCCATCAGAGCCTAGTACCTTGTCACACATTGTCAAGATTATTTCTGATGCACCTTTGCAGAATGCTCTAAATCCTTTTCGTTCGGGGAGTGTTACGAGCACAGACATCTTTTTCTTAACTGAGTTGAATGGCTCTACTTTAACTATATCATATTCCCTACGATGGACTTTGAAATCACCCCCTAGAAGCATTCCAAACTCTAGGATTGCAGTCTCAGTGGGAGTCCCCAAAATGTTAGTTTTCCCATCTTTCCCCTTCACGACCTCGGATCCTGTGTTCTGAAATATGGCATGGAGTAGCATATCAAACACATGTTCTGAGACAATTGACTTGACAACCTTGTTTGTGTCTGCAACACCACCTTTGATTAGTTTCGTCTCTCCACAAATCCATACTTTGTTGACAACCATATGGTTGGTGGTTAGTGTCCCAGTCTTATCAGTGCATATGCAGCTAGCAGAGCCCATCGTCTCACAAGCAGAAAGATGTCTCACTAAAGCTCTATCATTCATTAATTTCTTCATCGCAAATGCAAGACTTAAAGTGACCGCCAAAGGCAGCCCCTCTGGGACCGCAACAACAATAATAGTAACCGCAATAGCAAAAAAATTCAAGAGCTGCAAGGCATCATCCATGGACCATTCAGTCAACTGGTCATTATTTGCCTTGGTGAGAAGATACCTCCCTAGGAGAACCAAGAATGTCATCATGGCAAAAGCCAGACCAATCTTCCCAATTATCGTCGCAACTCCATTTAGCTTGACCTGCAATGGCGTTTCTTCATCTCCCGTTTCACTCAAAGTGACCATCAGTCTTCCCCATTCTGTCCTCATCCCTACTGATGTAACCATCATTTTACCAGAACCGTCTTGAACTTTGGTCCCAGATAGTAAAAATGGTCTGTCTTTGTGTACATCCACAGGCTCGCTCTCACCAGAAAGGCTAGATTCATCGATGGACAAGCTATGGCCTGAAATAAGCACCCCATCTGCTGGAACCAAATCTCCAATTGAGAGGTGAACAATGTCCCCAACCACTAAATTGTATACCGAAACCTTCTGCCTGCAACCTTCTCTAGTAACTTGAACCATAATATTTTTCTTCTCCTTATCCAAAACCTTGAATTGTAATGACTGCTTGTAGTCACTCACGGCTGTAACCATAACAACCAATAATATGCAGAGGATTATCCCAACCCCGTCGTACATGCCATCAGGCCAACCTTCAGTGGCAATGCCAACACCGACAGATATAACAGCACAGACCATGAGAATGATTAGTGTCAAGTCATGAAGAGCTTCCCAAACAAACATCCAGAATGATCTTGCGGGCTTCTCAGCATATTGATTCGTGCCATAGATGTTCTGCCTTAGAGGAACATCGCTAGAAACTATGCCATTCATTAGTGAAACTGACACTAGTCTAGACAAGCCTTCAACTCCTCCACGAGATGCCAAGCCCTTCTTGTCATGAGATCTAACCATGGAACCCAAATCATTGGGATCGATGCCAAAACCGGCAAGTTTAACATCATCAGGAAGCTTGTACTCTACCCGGCTCTGGTTATTATTGTTTGATGCAGCTATAGCAGCAGCTGTTGCAACAGAAGGAACCATTTTATTAATAACAATTCTTTAAGAAATATATATTCAGAAAGAGTATTTCCCATAACCCATATGTAATGAAAGGCTCAAACCAAAACATTGTTGGGCGAGTTTTGGTTTAGTACCATCGATGAACTGCAATGCTGCCTTCTGCACGTAGAGTGCCACCCGAATCTTTTCCTAGCAGTACGATTGGAGCATATAGTAAGAAAGAAACTCAAATGAAGTGCTAGTATTGTGCAGAAGAAAGTTTCAACTCTTCCAAACCGTCATCTAGAGCTGAGAGATGGTGGTAAGAAAATCTCATTCCATGGGGTTTGAGCTTTTTTTGTCCTTCACTTCATTTTAGAAGCTTGAACAAACACATAGGAGCTGAAAACCCAATCCTAGGCTCCTAGCAAACTCATAAATGAGGAAAGACAACAACACAAAACAATGGGGCACCAATACGTTAACCTTACCTCTGTTAGTAACCAGAAGAATAATAAGTCTAAGGCTAAGTTTTATTATTGTTTGTTTTAGGCATACCTCTTATTACAAATAAGGAATGCAAATTATAGGTTAGTACTCTAATTAGTTAATCATCTCTGAGTAGTTCATTATTCCATATAACTATCTTAGGGACTCCATCTTTCTTATAAAGTAGTGGCATTCAATAAGAGAAAGAAAATAGATAGTTCTTCTATAAGTGACGATCATAGAAAAATTAATGATATGACCAAGTCATCCAATAACACGAAACCCTCTCAAAGCATAAGAAAAAAAAAATGATTATAAATTATTTTTTGCACCAAAATCTGGATATATAACATAAAATTTGTAGCTAGCTAGCTCTCCACTCTTGAAAAACAAAAATAATTCATAAATTTAATGCAAGTCTAAATGATAAATTTTGTAGCATTAATACTTATTCTATCTTCGAATAATTTGATCCATCATATTAATGATTTTCTTTATGGATGTACGCAAAATATTTCTATGATTGGGCTGTTGAGGATCTTAAGCTACACCTACAATGTGATTCGCAAGAACAACTACATAAAAACTCCTTCCCATATAAAAATAATGTTCCACTATCAACCATTTAAATAACTTATGTCTTGATTGGATGAGAGATTTGAAAAATGTGCATCCAATTGGATTTGTAGCACATTTAAATTTTTGACAAATGAAATTTAAACGTTTATGCAAATGAAGCATATTTTGGATTGAACTCAAAGATGATATTCAAATCCTTGGAATCAATGATCCATTATCTTGCAAGCCATCAGAGTTTCAATCTAATCGAATTGAGGCGAAATGCAAAACAAGAATGCTTTCTACAACAGTGAAACATGCATGGAAAGAAGTTTATAAATGAGCCAAAAGTAGATACACAACTATTCGGTAGCTACTATATTTTTCTAGAAAGTGAGGGAGAACCTGGAGTTTTTTACGTTTCTTCTCAGCTTCCGCACGTTTGGCTAGGTCAGCGACCATGCGGAAGCGACGACGAGGGTTCTTGACAACAGAGACAGAGGAGCGCCATCGTCGTAGAGTTTCTTCAGAGGGCCGCTTGGATTGGACGTCAAAATTGTCTCTCAAAAACTTCTCCATTGTGTTGATGTTAATTAATCATTAGAACGACATAGAAGACGTATACAGTGCTCTATTGATGGCTGCAAGGCATGAGTAGGATGATTAAAGATGAAGAAAGTGACAAAGCATGCAATGATGCGTAAAGGGAAGGGCCAGAGAGAAAGAAAGAGAATTGGATGATTATTATTATTATTTAGTTACATTTCACACAGACATTAATTATTTGATTTTGTTGGATGCGATTTTGAAGCTCTTAAGTGGAAACTTTCAAATAGGAACCACGAATGGCGGCAAGTTTGTGAACTAAAACCGAGAAGCAAGAGATAGGCCCGAAATGAATGATATGCTTACATTTACGAGCGAGATAAATGGCTCTTGTGAATTAAGTGTTGATGACCTATACAATTTGATTCACTTGCTTAGACGTCCATTTAGCTTGTTATTTAATATCTAATTTTTGGCATTCTTAACCTTTTCATTTCTTAGCTTGCGGCATTTTGTAATCTTTTCCCATCTTTTTGACTTTTTCTTTCTTCATACCTTTTGGTAGCTACATGCCACAATCCTTTTATGGAAATCTCTCTCATATGAGAAAAATATTTTCTAGCGACGAATATGTCATCTATATGATACATATATACCATGGATAGCAAATGATATGCACTCCAAGAAGCGATCGAGAGTCAACTGTTCTTGTTTTTGGGACTTTTTCCTCTTTATCCCTCTTCCAGTCATTACTCAAAATTCGTAGTGACGTGAGAATAAATCTTGTCAGACATCCTTTTGTTTTACTTTTGGGAATTTTATTTTTCCTTTGTTTTATCCAAATTTACCAAATTGAAAAGGGATTTTCTGAACTCCACACGAATCATTCACTTCACAAGATCCAACTGTTTTGAGAGAAATCTTCTTAGGTCACCAAAAAGGAGCATATAAAATATTAGCTGGGGAGATGCGAGAGGAAGTGACCCTTACAGAGAGAAAGACTGAGAGAGAGGTTTGTAAGAGTAAACGAGGGGACTCTCCTTCGGTACCAACTCTCTGCAAATTTTATTTTCCCCCTTTGCACAAAGCGCACTTTATGTTGTGGCTGACTCAACAAGACATAGAAAAGATTTTGGTCTTAAGTTTTGGCACTTTCTCAACCTTTTAACCACCAATCTTGAAAATGAATGCAACTTCCAAATTGATGAGCTTGTCAAGGAATGTAAAGTAAAAAAGAAGAGCAAACCAAGATCAAAACTTCAAATTGAAATACGTAAGTTGGGGCCACAAATCTGCACCCTCTGTTATGCGACTAACAAAGTCAAAATGGAGTTCTTTTTCTCTTATTCTTGTGAGTTAAATCAGTGAAATTTGGTCTAGTGATTTGGTCACGAAGGATGCTAAGAGGACCAAAGGAGAGATTATCATTTATTGGGGGAAACCGGAAAAGCTATTACCATCTGGTGCAACTTGAGAGGGAAAATTCTCCATTGATGCGAGATCAAAAGTTCTTGCATGAAATTTTGTCTATTCTAGTTGTCTATGGTTCTAAAAAAAAGGGGAACTAGCCTTTCTACATAAATTAGACAGGGCGTGCCAGCACTACCTGAAATCCCTTTGTGCCATAGACTTAATTTAGTGAGATCAAAAGATGACATCATGGGCTGAACATGGGATAATGAGATGATGATGGAATTTAAACTCTAATTATTGCTTGTGGACCCCTAGAATTGCCGCTACAACGGGTTGGATTTTTATGGAGCAACGGTGGAGTAGCTGTCTCTCTCTTTTGTACCAACAGATGCTTAGTGAATCAAAATTTGATGAGGCTTTTGCACCAGAATCAATCTCTGCTTTAGACCTGATTGAGGTAGATCACATCCCAATCATAATGAAGTGAGGCAACACAGAGAAAGCACACTGTCCCTGAAAGTTTGAGAATATATGGGATGGTGCAAACCTTTTCATGTTCATCCAGAAACTAAGACATTCCAAGAACCTAATCAAAAGGTTGAATGTAGAATAGTTTGGCAAAGTTGAAAAATAATCGATGAAATTCTCGTGAAAATTAATGTAATTTACAACAATGAGAAATAAGATCAGGTGTCAAAATCAAACAGTAATGTCAAAATTTGCTAAAATGTGAAATGAGAGTCCTCCTATTTGAGGAGATCTCTTGGAGGAAGAAATCTAGAGTACTTTGGATCAAAGAAGGGCACACGAATACAACCTACTTCCACCACATGGATGAGAACAAACAAAGAAGAAAGAAGAAATAAGATACAAAAGAGAAGAAGAAAGAGCTGGAAACCGGGACTAATCCTAAGTTGGAAATTCAAAAAGCATTTGACATAGCAAGATTGGAGTGTCACTTCAAGATACAAGGTCGGTTCAAGAGTATTGTCTCAGCTTGAAACAGGTGACCCACTCTCACCACTTCTCTTCTCACCACTTCTCTTCAGTCATACCATTGATGTGTTCTCCTTCATCTTAAAACAATAAAGAATACAAGATATATCCCAGGATTTTATATGGACAAAGTTTGACATAGAGGAGAAGTAACACATTTGCTATATTTGGATGGCACTATTATTCTCTACGACGCGATTAAAGATAAAGTGATCAACATATCGGCTTTGTTAGTGTTTTCCAGGGCATTATAGGTTTTAGAGTAACTATGAAAAAGACTAAGCTCTACCGGGATAGGTAGAGATAGGTGGATGTTACTAGGAGTTTATGCTCACCATATACCTTGAGCTTCCATAGGTGCACCACCTACCTAAACCTCAATTTGAAACCCAATAATCACAAGGATGCAAAAAAATGCTAGACGGATGGAAAGGAATATACATGGCACTAGTTGGGAGAGTGACCCTAAATAATGCTTGGAGAATCAACCCATGTTCTTATGCTCATTATTTAATGCTTTAGCATAATATCCATAGTGGAAAGGATCTGAAACCAATTTATATGATCTGGAACTCAACAGTAGAAAAACTACATTAGTCACTTGAGATTAAGGCAAAGTACTAAAGACGATGAGAATTTTAGGTATCCATGACATATTCTCATAAAATCGACACTTCTATGAAGTGGTTGTGTAGGTTTATGCTAGAAAAGGAATCATGGTGGAGGAAAATGTTACAAGTGAATTTCCCTAATAGTGTTTCGTAATGGATGACTGGAGATTGTATTAGAGGAAAGGTATGTAGCCGCTTGTCACTAATACTCAAAGTGAAAAACATCTTTTGGAATTATGCACATTTCGAGGCTGTAGGTGGAGAATGCAGGAATGACTTTCCACTATTATCAAACCAATGAAAACCTTCACCTGGAAGGAGAGAGTGTTTCTTGGGAAATCACTCACAAAATCAATTTTAAGGGGGCCTAGGTGGGAAATAGAAATATTATTAAACATGTCCTTCTATAAATATTTCAAGACCTAGCAGAATTGTACGAAAGCCATATCGAGTGCATGGCTTCTCTGCATAAAGCATGTACGAATGCCTAGGGAAAGAAAATGATCTAGAATCAACGAAGTTCCCATACAAGGTAGTATGGAAATAAGTAACACAATCAAAGATCTATATTTTCCTCTAGATCTCTGGAAAAAAAAAATTCTAACTCGTGACTCATTAAATAAGAAAAGAAGATTAACTAGGCTATCTATAACCTTCCCTATAGGGAGACATTTTACGTTGTCGGCGAGTTTGACATAGATGTTGCATCCTATAAGGTTGTTGAGTTCCGTGAATTCATTAACATAGTATGGCATTGTGTCAAGGATATCTCCAATGTCAATGAGAGAAGATTGTTGAAGACACACGAGATGTGAAGTGCCTAGTGTTGTGATAGACCATTAATTGCACATGTTTGTACCTCCATTCTTGAGCCGTTTGAGAGTCGATTCTCGTGTTTTAAGCCGATTTCACGCTAGGTTGGGCGTTTATGTCATATTTCAGGACTTAGCGTTGATATGGAGGTGTGGGAACGAGTTTCGGGTCAAAAGGAGGACGTTGGAATAAAGGGGCGCTGGAAGAGGAAAATACCCGGTCAGGAGTTAAAATACCCGACTGGGTAAAATGCAAAGGGAGGTCGGGGAAAAGTGTTTTGGACTCCGAAATGGCAGAAGGGGTCCCGGCCGGTGAGCTAAAATACCCGATCATGTATTATTCTAGACCTCGATCGAGTATTAACCCCCTAGCTGCTGCTGTGCATTTTGAAATTCCCGACCGGGCACCTGAAATACACGACCGGGTATTATGGCTTGGGGATCGCGACTTGCTGCTTTTTAAGGGAAAGAAGACCAATTTTTAAAGGGTTCCGAGTTTTAGAGAAAGAAAGCTGATACCTAGAGAGAGAGAGAGTGACGAACCAGAATCTCCAAGCGCCCTAGATTGATCTTCATCACCATTGGAGCTCGGCTTAAGTTTGGAGAAGTGCCGATTGATTGCCAGAAGCAGAATCTCATCCTTCACATCATGTTTTCCTCATCTGAGCTAGATTTTCCTTCTCTCTCTATGGAGTAAACTCTCTCACTCACCTGGGTATGAAGAACCCTAGATTTGTATGTTAGGTCTGATTGTATGAACCCAAGTACGAATTCATTGATATTGATTATATTCAATTGAAGGTTTGATTTCTTGAATGGCATGAATCCTGATCAAATTACTATTATTTCTGCTTTGACCTAGAAAGATAATATCTGCCTAGGTTGACAGAGCATCCTTGATTGAAGGTAGTGAATTGACGAATTTAGTCGAGGAGTCAATTCACTATTATGTACCGGATTTACTCCAGTAGAGGAGGTTTGGTTCGTTAGTGCCTCAATCTGTTTACTCTGGTGGAGGTTAGTCGCCCGCTGGGGACATAGATTGAGAGGGTCTGGAGACCTTTAGTCGATACTGCAGACTGTTTAAGAACCTCCCGCGGTATAACTATCATTGAACTTGAACTTGGTGAATTATAACCTGGCTTAACTGCAGTCTAGGGGGAACCATATCCGGGTGACCTCTCTCAACTTGAACACAACTTTCACTGCTTTTGCTTGCTAGTTTAGTTAGACCTTCACTACACTTGAACTGCTAAATAATAAGATTTTCGTGGAGTAGTCATCACACCTAGGACCTGGGTTGACATTTATAACTAAACCCGCTATACTACGCATTAGTAGGTGGTTACACTTGGCCACTTTCTAGTGTGACGGTAGAGGCGTGTCATGTTGGGTAACATCTTAGCATGATAAAGTGCATCTATGGAGGTATTCTTTCCTCTATCAACTTTGGAAAAGTCGAATAAGGTGGCTCTTCCTTATTCACAAACTCTTTTATTGCTTCCACAGGGTTAAGCATACTGATAATGGACTCCAAATCAATGCAACAACTTCTTTTCCTCTCAGAACCTCCAATTTCAAAAGTGGAGTTTGCTGGGGAGGTCCCATTTTTTGTGCCCTGGTCATGAAAATCAGAGAAATTATGCTATTTAAATCTGTAAGTCACAAATACCACATATAAAATAATTAATTGTTTTGGTTCATTCAAACAAGATAATTTAACTTCCAATTCTACCAAATAACACACAAATACCACATATAGGAAAAATGAGTTATTTGCTCATACAAATACCACACTGACAATCAATTCATCCAAATGACCCCTTAAAGGCAATAAACATACAAGGTGAAAAATAATCAATCACTATATATATATATGGCGAGTTCTACGGTACCCTGGGTGAAATCCGGGGTACCGCATACCTTGAGTATGAAAACACTATCTAGACCTTGAATTAACCGATCTTTCGGACATGATACTATACTCTAACACTTAAATATATATGGCCGCCATGGACTTTATATTGCCCTTTTTTCTTTTTTTGAATGGCTGCCATCGTGTATATCCATACTTTTTTTACACCGTATACCCATAGTCGTAGTACTACCCTCATGTCATTGTACCCCCTAACCCCGAGCTCGTAATGCTATAGGATGGCTAACTCCGAGCCGAACAAGCAATAGATACAAAAAGCAACTAGCAAATACCAGAAGGAGTATGTGGCGTTATGTAAGAAACCAGGGTTGAAGATGGACTTTTTGGAAGTGAAAGAAAATGGGGAGGGTTGGCTTGGCCCTAACCTCATTTATGAGAATACCCTATCTACTGCTACACTTGACCGGTATCCACTTGGGGGTAGCCTCCCTCTCTACCTCGAAGAATCAATACCGCCTGCCATGTTCTTTTGCCCCATTAAAAGCAAAAAACCATTGTCCTCATGGCCACATAGTGATCCCATCTTCATCAAGTGGTATAAGAGGTTGAAGGTTGACACGACCACTAAGGAACAATGGATGGCATCTGGCATTACCCGTCTATTGGCCCTTTGTGCTACGATTCCGGATCCAGATGTTCAGCTATTCAAAGCTTCCTTGTGCTTCTGGTCTGTAGGCTCCAATTGCTTTGTTCTCCCCCCGGGTGTAATGACTATCACCCTAATTGACTTGCCCGCCCTCACCAGTTTGTCTTTAGGGGCCAAAGCACCAATAGACCCCACCCCCCTTGATGAGCAAACTCCTATTTTGCCACAATCCTTCACGAGTTTGCACCAGCAATACTTGCCCGCTGACGTAGAGGCAGCTATTAGCCATAAGGAGAGGGTGGCTTTCATCCACTACTAGTTATACAGGTTCATTATCTGCCCGACTCATGCATGTCCCCACAGGTCTCTATCTCATATGTCGTACAAACTTTCTGATGGGATTCCTCGTGCTGATTTTCTGGAAACCATCTTGGCACCTCTCTACCACGGTATGCACACCCTCATTCATCAAGTCAAGAAGGGTGTCACTCCTACTGGCAGCGGTCCCCTATGGTTAGTCCTCCTTTGGATTTATGCTTATTTTCCAACAACATGGGGTGACCTTCCCCTCTTGGACCAAATCGACCCCAAGCCACATTCTTATGGCTTGTATTATGCGAAGGCTCCCCCTTTGAAGCAAAGTTTTGACAGCTACTTTGCTCAATTATACAACTTAAAAAAGAGCTTCATCTTTACCCCCTTTGCTAGTCGAGCTGTGGGTCCTACCTCTTTCTCCATGACTTTCACCGCATTCCCTGCTAAAGAAGAGCCTAAGACAAACTACGAGAGATTTGCTAGTCAATGGGTCAACTGGGTGGTAGCACGTGACCTCCTTCTCAACCCAACCAATGGAAAGAATGCACTTATGTGGAGCCTTACAACCCTACTATGTTGCAAGACAATTTGGCTTGATTCGAAGGTGGCCTTTGTCGAACCCATTCTCACGCCAACTTGAAAACCCCGACGAGAGAAATCCGTTGCAAGACAAGGAGGTGAAGAAACTTGAGGCATGGCATGCCACTTTACTCACTTCCGTTCCATTCACACCCTTCAAGTCAAGTCCATACTCCACTCCTCTTTTCGAGAGAGTGCTCTCAAAAACATTGGAGGATCTAAAGCTCTTCGCTGGTAATCCTTAAACCATTGTCTATGGCCTTCTTACCAATGTGCCCCAAGGGGAGGGCCCCGATGGCCAAACCTCGAGTAATGGTGGCAAGGGAAAAAACGGTTACACCCAAACATCCAACACATCATCGGCCAAACGCCCTGCATGTAAGCCTTCTTCCCATTGTATATTTATACAGCCTGCCCTTTTTTTTCTTTTATCTAACCATGAATAAATTTTCTTTGTCATGTAGCTTCCAAAGAATCTCATGGTCATACTCGACCAGCCAAGAAATCTTGTCCCCCAAACAAACCCCAAACCAGTGCACATGTAAGTCTTCCCATTCCCCTTAGCTAGTATTCCTTATTTGTGATGACACCCCCTAACCACCTGTCTCATTGTGTAGTCAGAGACAATGATGTCAGATGAGGATGAAGAAGAACCCCCCTCTGACCCAGAGGAGGAGGAGGAGGAGGAGAACTCTGTTCTCAAGGGTGCTCGTAGTACTACCGGTACAGAGTCAGAGGGAGGTGACGACAAACCTGTCGATGAAGGTTCTGGAGAAAGGGGAGGTCGAGATCATAGAACACACGAGGGGAAAAAATGGGGACTCCATTCATCTTCGTCTTCGCACTAGGCTCGTGATCCTCAGCCCTCGGCCAGCTTGGTGCCACAACCCCCTCGTCCTCCCACCTTGGGGCTGGTTCTACCACCACCCCCTCCCCACACCAGGGGGTCCAGGGATGACTACAGGGGCAACTCCACCTTCCACCACCCCCTTTGGTCTCTTGGGATTTAATAAGTTTGAGTAATACATTTAATGCCAACTTTAAATTTTTATTTATGCATACAGTTTGAGTAACACATTTCCCTCAGGTCCCCACAACGGCTCCCTTCATGGAGGTGAAGGAGTGATAGTGGATGCCACCACCCACCAAATGACCCCTTTAATGGAGGCGGTCGAGGGGGAGCAATACCCACATCCTACTGGTCTCATGGTAATCCTTCAACACTTAAATGAGTAGAGACCCCCTGGGCATGATAAGCACTACGTCCAAACAAAAACCTCTTCTCTATTTTTTTTATGATGAAGACACCAATATCTCATATGTACACAACTTACAGGGTGCCACCACTCTTAATGATGACCTCCAATTCCTATGAGACTTGGAGAGCCAATATCAGGTGGCTGCCACCAACCCTTTTGTCAACCCACCTTCTTCATCCATTCATGAAGCCCTGGATGTCGTTGACAACTTCCTATCTTACACTTTGGACGAAGTAATAGGGGCTTTTGACTCTGCCTGGCCTGAACCAGCCCTTGCTCTTTTGTCCAAGCTCGAGCTTCACATCCCACTACCACGTTTGATCATGGACCACACGCTATCTATGCATACCACTTCAAACACCATCAAATCATGTCTTGGGGCTATCGAGCAGGCTACAAAGTTGAAGGATACCATGCTCCACAAAGAAAATGCTAGAGCCACCACTTCCACCTCCTTGCAAGGGAAAGTATCACAAGGCAAGGCCATGTCAAGTCAGGTTACCACCCTTGAAGCCAGGAAAAATGCTCTCTCTTCTAGGATAGCCGAGTTGGAGGCCGAACTCAGTAGGCTTCATGCAGAGGAGGCACAAGAGCAAACCCAGTAAGAGTCTCTAATTCGAAATTTCAACGTTTTGATGGGTGAAATTCTTGCTCTTGCTGACCAGGAGAAGACTATTGCTCCCATGAAGGAAATAGCCCTTCACCAAGCAAAAGCCGACCAGGAGGAACGTGAAAACAAGGCCAAGCTTGTTAAAATAAGGGCCACCTTTGATGAGATCAAGAAGATCCTCCATCCTTGAAACTTGATTTTCATTTATGCCCCATGTTTGCTTTTCTTTTCCTTTCCACTATGAACAGTCGGCTTAGTCACTTTGTTGGCCTTTGTTTGATTTCCTTTCTTTCTATCGAATGAGTATGATTTGGATTCTTTTCGTTCCCCTATGCATACGTGCCCCTCATGTTACACCCCGCTTTTCCCAAAAGTCAAAATGACTATTATACCCTCGGAGGAATTTTGTCAAATTCTATCGTAATAATGATGAGGATAAAAAAATGTAAATTCTCGAGTTAACCAGTGTTGAGTTTCGACTTAAAATGGAAAAGTTATGTATGTTAATTGAGTTTCGGACCAAACTCACCCGTAATTGCAAAATTTCCATAATACCCTACTCTTAGACCCCTTAGTTCACCATGCGGCCTCATTACAACAATTAAATCCCACACCCCCTAGTCCACAGCTCGGCCTCATTGAAAACCCTAAACCGACTCTGTTATCCTTCCCCTCGTGCAGCCTTTCCCAGACGAGCACAGAGCATGATATGAGGGTGGTAGGGAGAAAGCGGCAGAACAGATGTCGGGGGCGAGCGGGATCATTAGCTGGAAAGGGATGGGAAACCCTCTCTACTACGAGAGGTGCTTGCCTAAGCAAGTTCGTCTCATGGTCATCAGGGAGGAGATGGAGTCCTGATCGAGGAGGATGGACAGCCAGTGTGGATTATCGCAGGGGAAGGCTGGCGAGAAGCAGGCATGAGGCATCGATGGAGGGCTGATCTAACGATCCCCCCCCACCCCCACCCACAACTACGAGAGCAAGCCCGAGC